ACAGTCACTCGCAGGATGACTATTCCGAGGGCCCACTTTAGCCAGCACCTGACACAGGTGGTCATAGAGGGCATCTGACTCATCAGTCTCAATCTTCAGTGGGGACATTAAGCCACTCCACCACCAATCCCCGCCTCCCCTTGATGGGGAGGCAAGCCTACAACAGCCTCGTACTTATAGCTTCCCACACCTTGCATCCATGCTCCCACGCTCCCTTCATTATTTTGTTCCGAGGGAGAGCCACTCACTACCCCGAATGGAGGACTGTCCACCTCTCGTGAAAACTGGAGGCAGAACAAGTCCACAGGACCTGTCATCCGCAGAGGCCTAGATGGTACCAGTCCAGCTCCTGACAGAGGAATGGCAGCCTCTCCCCTACGTGGCCAACTGCAATGGGTCCCTGCCGTTTCCTGGCTCCGCCAAATGGAGTTGGTCTAGGAAGACGTCGTGAATGCCTTATCCTCCGTGGCCTCTCACACCGGCACAAGCTAATCGGGAGTTTCCACCAAACGATATTCACACACAGAGAGAGACACACACCTCATACAACCCCATCCCATACCGACTCGCGCTGCATTCACCCTCACAAAGCACTGCATCTCACACGACACTGCACACCAGACACGACAGTGCTCCACACTACGTGTAAAAGAAAACAAATTTCCCCCGTGTAGCCTTAACAGACTGTAGGGTAAAATTCTGTTAGCGAGCACCTATAAAGGCCAGCACAGCACACTAGGGGGTGGGTGGTCAACACCACGCCCGGCCGCCTTTATCTCCCTAGTGGCGATGTTTACATATCGCACCAGGTACTCATTTGAGGCTGAGTCGACCTAGGGGAGGCCCAGAACCGGTTCATATAATAGTCACTGGTATTTGCCGTGAGCGGGAATCGAACCCAGGTCACCGGGTTCGTAGCGCAGTGCGCTAACCACTACACTACCGCTCCCCACCATACACGCATACACGTGCAAATACCATGGACGTGCGTTAGCTAACGTATGGTAACAAAACACGCGGAAAACACAACGCGTGCCAACATTCACTAACAAAACGTAGGCTAAAAACTAATGACCACACGCTCACACATGCACACAACCCTAACATAAAACATCATGAATCTACAACGCACACATTAATCCCAACCTTATCAACTAAAACACTAAACTATATTAATCACTATTTATCATGAACAAACAAATCTGGTGTTATTATTACTTATCAAATAAACACGAGGAATTTCCGGGGCCCATTTCACCAACATTGCAAACGCAAGTACACACGACTGGTTAAACCCGGCAGCTTTCGTCTCGATGTTAAAACAACTCAAACATGACGACAAATACAAAATCACGTCAAATTAAATCGAAGACATCGATAACAACAGCAGCAGCAGCAATTAAACATTAAGTTGTGTAACCAGCAGGAGGCGAGAGGATACGCTATGCCCCCAGGTGATTACGTTGACGCATCATCACACAATCCTCGCCACGGCTTCATCTGCTGTGGCCACGTGGTCTGTGTTGGGCCGCAAGCGGGCAGCAGCAGAATCGGCTGCTTCAGGCCACGTGGCCCTCGTGGTGAAGCAAGCCCAGCGGTGAAGCTGGATTTGAAGCCACCGGTCACGTTTATCGCCGCCCCTGATTGTCGCGAGGGTGACGTGGAATCGTTTGTCTTGCGAACAGCGATTCGCAGTGGTGGCTGTACACGCATGACGCTAAACCCTTATTTAAGCGAAGACTGTAAGAATGTTTAAAAAATAGGCCAGTCCCTGGAGGATTAAGCGAAACGTGTAGATACGTCTGTATATTATGTACCTCGGCCTGAGTTGCACAAGCAAGTGTATTGTCCCTCTCTGGGAAATACTTCCACTGTTGGTCATGTTTATTTGTATATCTGTATCTCGGTAAGCTTCATAACTGCGAACCTTTCCACAATAAATTTGTCATCAAACATGAGGCGGCCTCTGGGTTTTGTGTCCTAAGAATTAGCACTGTTAGTGTAATAAATACAAATTATTGTAAATGTTTTACTTAAAACTTTCGTGACTGCAGGAATTCATATTCTTTGGTTCTTTCGGTAAAGTCACGTAGATAGAAAAATAATTTTAATGATAAAAAAATATTTTTTATTTTTCTATCTTTGTGACTTTACCGAAAAAACCAACGAATACAAATGATAGTTCACCAACTTCACCATGAGCGTCACGAGGCTTTCCATTGGCGCTGTCAACGGCGCGCCCGTGGGGTCGAGTGGCCTGAATTAAATTCTAGATTTGAAGTTTTCGTGACTGCAAGGGTCCATCCTCTGGTTTTTTCGGTAAAGTCACGTAGGTGAAAAAGAAAATAAAAATAAATTAAATCACGACGTTTCAGAGGCAACACAAGCTTCCGTCTTCAGGTGGCACCGTCACAGCAGACGGAATCTTGTGATGCCTCCGAAACGTCGTGATTTAATTTATTTAGTTAAATTTTTCACCTACGTGACTTTACCGAAAAAACCAAAGAGTATGGTCTGAATTTGCGACGAACGTCTCGACACCCTGCACTGGCCTCCTTCGTCTGGGTCTACTCGTGGCAGACGGCTCGTCTTGATTCCTTCAACCCATGCCGAGGACAACGGGGCGACTGCTTCTTCTTCTCCGTGCTGCACTCACCACCCTGCAGGTCACCACACTTCTCCCTCTGCCTCTCCGCTCACACCACTCCACTCGATAATCGCCTCCTCCCATCATCATCATCGCCTCTGTTCCCGGAGCACTTCTAACAATTGTACTCATCTCACGAAGCGTGTTGCACTGTTATCTATTACAATTTTGACGGCGCTGCTGGTTGCTGCTGCCCGCTTCACCCTTTTGGGCCCGTGCTCCAGAACTGTGTTCAACAAAATAAATGCAGCGCATGTTACACATTCCTGCGGAGGGAGCTGGTAGGAACGTTGGGTTGCTCGGTCAATGGCCAGGGTCAACGGCGGCGTGGTGTATTCCGCAAATATGGCCGACTGTCAGGGCGGGCACAAGCCGGCGTGAGTAGGTGAAACGTTGAGTTTTATAAGGGCACCACGGGGTGACCAGCCCCTCCCCACCCAGCCCCACCCAGCCCCTCCCCACCCAGCCCCTCCCCACCCTCCCTGCACGACGGACACAATAATCCCCTGTGGGCTGGTGTCGTCCTAAGCGTGGCTCCACCGTCACGCGCTCCACCGTCAAGCGCTCCACCGTCACGTGCTGCCCATCCATCAGCGGTGGGAGGATGGACGGCCACACGGACTCGTCGGCGACGAGATGAAGCCAAGAGTCGTTCTTGTAGGTTGAGAGTGGAACAGGAGAATAGGACTGGGGTGGGGGATTCAAACGATAGCCTCACCTACCACTGCTGCTGTATCCCACACTGAATGGCGATGATTTCTTGGTAGAGGTATAATTTTTTATTGGTTGAACGGGTGACCCAATATGGTTCTGGGCAACATGGGTGAAGGTGGAAACGTGTGGACGGGAAGTAGTTGTTCAAGGGTGGCTTGGGTCGTGCTTCCTCTGCTGAGGTGCAGCGAACACGGCCCTTGAAACCGGTTGTGAAGGTAACGAGGGGGGGGGGATCAAACTAAAAACGAAACTTTTTTTTATTTTACCAGGTAAGGCCCACGGAGCTATGTAGCTCTTTTTCAGAAGCGACCCGACCACAAATGACAGCTCAACGAAGTGGCTTATCGTGTGGAAATTTATAGCAGCCAAATACTCTAAAACGCGTGGTCCTGATTCTAAATGGGGAGGAAACCCCAGAGGAAGCGGGGGAAAATCTACGCGATTACCAAATATGCAGCAGGCGAGGTAGTTAATATCTCGCCACCGTGGCACCCTAAGGCAGAGACTCCCACGGAAGTGATCGCCCTGGAGGGGGAATGGGGGCGCTGGTGCGGCGGGGCGCTGGTGGAGCTTTTCGTCCTCATGGGAGCCGCAACTCGGTACAGCAGCAGCTCGAGCCGAGTCTCGTAACCGAGTAGAGGCAGCCTCTTCTGGCGGGGTGAGACGAGGAGGGTGCACGCCACAAACGGACCTCGGCAGGACGACCTGGGAAGGTGTTGGCAGCCGACTAAACAACCCGGCGGCCGGTGCAGCTGAGCGCGCAGACAGAAGGTGGCGGCTGCCTTTGACGGGGCGAGGCCACGCAGGGGGGAATATCAGGAGGAGCCTGAGAGAGCTCGGGGCTGCCGTGGGATCGTGGTGGACTGTTGCCACGCCGCCGGTGTCTCCGTGCCGTCTGTCTCCGTGCCGTCGTTGCTTGGGTGCTGTCCTAGCCCAAGTATCTGTTGTTATTCTAGCCCAGTACCGTATGCTAGTCATAGCTAAGTACTGTAGGATGTGAGAGTACATTATCTGCGCCCTTAATAAATAAAGAAGACGAAAAGTGTCAGAGTCATTGCACAGTGACCTCGCCAAAAGCCACTGCAAGGATGAGCGGAGTTTGCATGATGGTTTATTCCTTGACGAAATTGGCAAGGTGTTGCGATTCATTTGTGGCAAGCGCTTGTACAGTAATTGAAAGCTTTATTGCTCAAATACTTCAGTCTTGATACACGAGAGGTTAGTGTTGCTGGTCAAGATGCGACGATCTGACCCAGTGGCACCGTGGTCAGAACGCGCCTCTCACAATGTAGACATTAACATCCTGAGTCGCCCACACCCTTCCAGGATTTACACATTCAATTCCTGCAGAAGGGCTGGGGAGTGATTTAACCAATCCACCCCTCCTGAGGTTGGGGACGCCAAGTGGTTTCCCTTCTGGATACCAGCCTCTACCGTGGTAATGTGGAATTTCTACCATTGGCTTGGAGCCACTAACAGGCACAACCCATATGCTTCAGTTGAGGGACGCACTCATTTTTAAATCCTTTATATTAAGTTCACTTGCTTGCTTGCTTGCGCGCTTACGACCGTGCAAATCTTTCGGTCGTTTTTTAACCCACTTCCCGTGATCCAATCGAGCTGACATTTTGCACACAGACTCGTTGTGCGTGACAATTTATTTTCGTGAATTTTTTTTTCCAAAATTTCATATTTAATTTAAAATACCAATGTGATAAAAATGAAACTCTTACTCAAGAAAAACAGAAATGAATAATAAAATAAAACCGATGCCACGCATATAAAGGATTTATAGTGAAAAACTTTGTTTTTACGGGTTAATTTTTTACCCGTGAAAATAAACTGAGTTGGAAGATACAGCATTGTGGCTGCTGAACTCCAAGCTCTTCCACTGTGGGTTTCACTCCCCCCCCCGCCTCCGTGCGCTGGGTTGCAGACTGACACAGAGCGGCTCCCAGCATGCACCGCGTGGGCGGGGCGAGCAGCTCCGTGTGGCTCTATCGCCACTAGGGGGCGCTACAGCGGTGCCCCTCAAGTCTCGTGGCTCTGACTCGAACCAAGCCTCCCACGTGTATCGGGCAGCACGTGACGCACAGCTGAGGTATATTTCTAGAAAACAGCAGCGGTCCTCTCTGTGGAGGTGGCGCATTCAGCCCAATGGGACGCGCGTTCCCGTGAGACGTCTGTGTAGTGATCGAGTACCACTACGTCGGTTTTCGCGGTTGTGCTTTATAGCTCCCGATTGTGATTTTTGGGTTGTGCTGCATGTTGTTGACACCCACACTCGCACAGAAACGCACAAACACGCACATACACACATACAGCAGTACAGTAAGTGGGCACGTAAGCCTGTCTGTTCAGTGGACTGTTACAGAGTAGTCTCGCCCAGGTGTGCTATGGGCTCACCACTTTGCGCGCAAGTGGTGAGCCCGTGTGCACCGGCTGACGAAGCTCGTGATTTGTAACGTCGGCCGGCCCACATCAATCGCAGCCAGCATCCAGAAGAGAAGCTCCCAGTTCGTGGAGCGAAACATCGGACAACGCGAGGCACAACCCGGAACGCGAGCGAGCGAGCGAGAGTAGTGACCGACGTCCGCGCGCCGTCCTCTACTGCGGCTCCGCAGACGCCGCTGCCGCGCTGCGCTCGAGCTGCCCCAGCAGCACGTGGGCCACGCGGCCGCAGTACGTGTGCGCCGCCTCGCCCATGGCGGCACGCGCCGGCGCCAGCAGCCCGGACTCGAGGTCGCCGCTGCCAAGTCGGTACTGCACACGCACGCACGCACGCACCGTGACGGTGTGAGGTTGAGGAGTGGCCGGTGTCTTCACAGCGTCCGTGCCAGACGCGCCGCTGCACGCGCAGAGCATCTGCGTTCAGGCGGGCAGGCCAGCAGAGTGGCTATCGAGTGTGCAGGAGGTGCACCATGAGCCACTGGCCGGAGGAGCGCTGGCACCCGGCTAAGAGGAGGAAACATTTAATGGGGGAGGTGAGGCCCCTTTTAAGAGCCTGCACCAACCTGCATGCAACAGAGTTGTGCAACTGCTCGCTCCGATGTGGACCCCAGCTTGAGCATGCCCCTCAAAGAATGTATCTCTGCGCCCTGTTGCCGGCGTGCACGTGGCGCGGGTGAACTGGTGTGATGGCCAAGAAGGTACGCACGTGCAGCAGCGCCTGGTAGATGGCGCGGAAGGCCGGCTGCTTGCCGTCGTGGTACACGCCGCGGTTGCCGTGCAGCACGGCCACGCCGTCGCGCTCGGCGCCGCCGCAGTTGCTGCCGTACATGCAGTGGTCGGGACGAAAGTTCCAGCGGCAATCGAAGACGTGCACCATCTCTGTGGGGCCGCGAGCGGCGCGGGGAGACGCGCGTCAACCCGTGCGGCCCTTGCGCCGGGCCACTATCTAACCAGGCGGGGGCCCGTCGTGATGCCCGTCTCGTCGTTAAAGAGGAAACCGCAGCAGTGCGAAGGTATTCCGTGACACAATTATACAGTTTATGGTTAGGGTAGAAGGGCCCAGGCAGCGTTCCTGACTGAGCCGCCTTTCTACGTGGCGATTGTAAGCTATCTCCATGTCTGCATGGGTTTCCTCTGGACTCCCTGGTATTGGGCAAAACATCCCAGTGCTGAAAAATGTGCCTGAGAATGACTCAGTTGTGATCACACACACAACAGCAACATCGCCCCCTACTGCGAAAGCATGGCAGGACCCTCCTGAAAAAGGTCCTGTGACTCGGAGAGGCTTTCCTGATAAACCAGCATAATAAGAACAATAATACCCTTAATAATGAATATCCTTTTGTCAACCGACTGCTGGGTGAAGCCTTCCCTATACCACGTGGGTCATGGAAGTTAATTGACCATACTTCACCGTGCTGCGCTGCCCTCTGCTGACAACACGGCCCCGGCGTTTCGCCTGGCGGTCCATCATCCAAACAGCGGTGACATCGCAGCTGTGAGTTGACGACTCCAACAGCGCCACCCGGTCAAATTAAACGTAAACGAGGGGCCAAAAATAAACTACAGTTGTATCAATAAATAAACTTGCCGATTAAGCAGCCAGGATTGAGCAAATGCACCACCGACCTGATTTTCCGATGTTTACAAACACGGCGCAGTCGCTCACCACCCGCGGTACTGCCATCCGAGCCTGTTGGCGCACGCCCAGCAACCGCGAGCGCCAACGCTACAAACGACCACACCGCCCGCTGCCTCGTATGCCGACCTTCTGTCGGCGGCTCTTCAGAAAACGCTCTGCGGTTTTCTTTTAAATGCCAAAGCGAGTGCAGCGCCGCTGTACTCGCCAAAGCACAGGTCCGACGGTGGTTGCGCGTGGGTGGAGGCCACGTTTCCTCCCGGGCCCCACCGGACAGACACCCTCGATGCGCAGCGGCTCTGTCTGGCGACACGCTCCCACCCCGTTACTGATTCGACGGGGGCCTCACCGGGGTTGTAGTGGAAGATGATGTTGAGCAGGTCCTGGTCACCCCACGTGATGTTCAGCCGGTACTTGTTGTAGAGCGGCAGCAGCATCTCGCCCCAGGCCAGCCGCACGGCGCTCATGTCATTCTGAGGGATCGCAAAACACGGTTCGGTCCCTCGCAGCGACGCAACGTTGTTCCCAAGCTTAAATCGCCGCCTCACCTTTACGAGAGTTACCGTGCCACCCCAGAACCTATTGGAGACCGACGGACAGAGTTCACGCATTAACCCACTCGACCTTACTTGGAAAGGATTCGGAAAGGCCGGCGCCGGACCGAGCGATCCCGGCTCCCACCTTAAACTGCGCGGTGCGCAGGCCTGCCAGATCCATGAGCATAACCCCGGAGTTGACCCCCGTGCGGCCCAGGTAGGGGTGGCGGCCGAAGCGGTTGTACCAGCCGATCTGCAGCAGCTCGTGCTCGGGCGCGAGGCCCGCGAGGCGCCAGGCCCCGAAGCGGCGCCGCAGCGCCCACAGCTCGTCGACAGGCGCCAGGAAGAGCACGTCCGTGTCCACGTAGAGCAGCCAGCCCACGTGGGGCAGCAGCAGCTGCGGCAACACCACCACCACGCGCGCGGGACGGGGCGGGGGGGGGCTTTTTGAGCAACGAGGCGGCGCTCGTCCCCTGTTTACAGCCCTGAGCCAGTGGTGGACATTCCTCATGCCTATGGCAGGGGGCAAGTATGTCCAATGACAACCGCTGTTGGTTTATTTTCCCATATGGTGGCGCTTGGGCATTTAGACGTTAAATCGATTTTAAATTATTTCCAGCAGCAGTACTTGTTTTACAGTAAGAATGAGTTACGTTTCATAACGCATTCTAACACTTGTTCAGTTGTACGTGTTTTAAATGTGATCAATGGGGACAGGCCTGAGGACATTACAACTGCAGTGCCGTGCAGTGCCGTGCAGTGCTGCTATGAGAACTTTCATTTCTAGGGCATGGTACACCAAAGACAAGCCCTGAAGCCGGACCACTTGATGCTGTAAGAGCCGACCAATCGTGCAAAGCTTTGAGCAGCAGCTGCAAATTATTTAACGGTAATGATTGGTCGGTGTGAAAAATAATTTTGTGAGGGGCACGAAGAGCGGTGGTTAACAATTCTTGAGATGATACCAAAGTGCCAGCGGCAGTAACTATCTCTGTACGAGTGGATATCTACTTATTTCGTGCAATTCCAAATAAAATCGCAGTGATGTCCGGTTCACATAAGCATCGAGGTAGTGAGTCCACCTACAGGACAACCACTGTAGACAAAGTAAGTGGAAGTTATTTTATCATCCGTGCAGATGATTGGCCAAGTCAACCACCCAACCTTCCGATTGCGAGCCGCTCGCTCAACCACCAAGCCACCTGGCCGGGTCGTACGATATACGGCGTGACGGGTACAAATATTTCTCAGTGTTGCAAATTATAATCTAACTCGATGAGGTGGGATATTTACGTTTTGGCCAAAATCGTTGAGCGAATCCAATTTACATTCTGTTGTAAACGGAGTCATAATTTGTACTGTGACCGGGTGTGGTGGTGAACATTGCCACCTACTGCCAGGTCCGGCGCTCTGCAGTGAAGCCCAAAAAACATCGTCTCTTCCCGTGAACCATCGAACCGACCTCCGACCAGAATTTGAACTCGCAAGCTTCCAATCGCGAGGCGCTCGCTCCACCGCTGAGTGACGTGGCCAGATACGAGTCATCCCCCTACAGATGTAACCCCGACCGTCCCCCCACTGGGCCGGCAACGAAGATGAGTGCCGCCCTCCACTCCTGGGTAGACGTGCCATGGCGCAAGCGGCCTGGCGTCAGGAATTCTAAGTGCTCTCACGAGAGGCACAGGAGCGGCGTATCCTGCTGTGAAGCACCAGACGTTAGTCGTAAGTGTTGCCATCAAGCCGCCCATCCATATACATTTTATTAGCGTTCGAGGAGAACTGGGAAACGCCCTCTGGCGAAGAACCGCTTTACAAAGCACTGGCTATTTATATAGAAACCCAATTGCTATGAAAATAAATATCGTATCGTGAGACGTGATATCGTGGCAACGCTGCTTGCGCCTTCAGGTTTCGCAGCAGCGAAGCGTCCCTGTCTCCAGGCCCTTACAGGCAGGAAGAGGCGTTGAGAGGCGCAGGGCTTAAAGAGTTTCCTCCAGGCGTCCGCGTTGTCGGCGGGGAAGGTGATTGGGTACAGCGAGAATGACAGCTTCCTCCGATACCGCAACGGCCACGCCAGCAGCTGAATGAGTGGGGAACGCACACGCACATTCACAAAACGGGGGTTTTCACAGCCACTCGGAGTCCGAGTGAGCTCTTCCTGGCTAGGCCGCGTGTTGAGGCTGTCTTCTCTCAAGCTTTCGCCACGGACTGCTGTGGGCGCCTTCGGGAGTTGAGGTGAAAATCCCCGCAGCAGTGCGCAGCAAAAGCTTGGCAGACGAGATGTTCCACACGCGGCTAAACCAGGAAGACCACACTTAATAATAATTTAGTACATTTGCTAATTACGCCATTCTTATAGTGCAGGGCTAGCACGTAGACGCTGCTGTTTCACTGTTATAGCCTCCAATAGTTTTACATCAGGGGGCGACGTTGCTGTGTAATCCCAATTTAGTGTTTTGCCGGTAGTTTTTGCCGGTAATTTGGATAAGGACACCGGCACACAATGGCTTCCTCATTTTGGATGATATTGGAGGATGTCTAACATCCACCGTGAATCAGACAGCGGTTAATATACCCACAGTAGTAACCAAGGTGACCTGATGGATTCAAATCGCAAAAGTCTAACAAGCGGCAGAGGCGCTACCACTGGGCTACGCCACCACGCTGGAGGAGAAGATTCCCCATTTAACTTCGCGCACTGCTCGGGCGAGTGCTGTGAGCGTCATTAAGAGACAACACGGCACACGACGGATGTATTGTGACCAGCACCGCGGTGGTGCGGATAGAACCACAGACACGACAAGGCGGTGGTGTAGCCGGCACCACAGACACGACAAGGTGGTGGTGTAGCCGGCACCACGCATTCCGGCCCTGCTGTGCGTTCACCTGCTCCCGAAAGCTGGCGTGCAGTTCATCCTCTGCGAAGATGTGGGCGTGCAGGCGTGCACGGCTGAAGAGCGCTGCGGACTTGAGCATGACCATGGTCTCCTCGAGGCGAGCGCCGCACGCCACCACCGCCAGCTGCAGCGCCTCGGCCACGCTCCCTCCGCGCGTACACCTACACAACGAGCGCGGTCGCACATTCACACAACAAGCGCGATCGTACACCCACACAACGATGAGCGCGGTCGCACACCCACACAAGTGCAGCCCAACACCCACACAACGACGAGCGCGATCGCATACCCACGCGACGACAAGCACGATCGCACACCCACACAACAAGCGCGATCGCACACCCACGCGGCAACAAGCACGGTAGCACACCCATACAACAAGCGCGATCGCACACCCACGCGACGACAAACACGATCGCACACCCACACAACAAGCGCGATCGCACACCCACGCGGCAACAAGCACGGTCACACACCTACACAACGACGAGCGCCGTCGCACACCCACGCGGCAACAAGCACGGTCGCACACCCACACAACAAGTGCAATCGCACACCCACGTGACGAAAAGCACAGTCGCACACCCACACAAGTGCGGTCGCACACCCACGCGATGACAAGCGTGGCCGCATACCGTCCTAACGCTCGCCAAGCAACCGTCCACCCACGCCACCCCCCAAGCGGGCCGATCGTCGCTACCCTTGTTTACCCAGGGAAGCCTCGCCGAGTCTCAACGCTTTTTGGGGAGGGTCCTGCCAAGTTTTCGCAGAATGGGGGGCGATGTTGCTGCTGTGTATCATCCCAACCGAGTAATATGCGTTTTCAATATTAAGGCGCATTGGCCAAGACCACTTACATTCTAGTGTTTAGTTATGGGGGGGAATTGGAGAAGCCAGAGGAAACCAGTGCAGGACAGGGGAAGAACACAAACTCCACACAGAAAGGTGCTTGAGGTTGGGAATCAAACCCAGGCACTTGTTGCTGCGAGGCACAAGTGTCACCGCTGCATCACCCAATCTACTGACACGATTCCAGGTCGTCACGAGATTTCAGGCTCATTTATTTTGTCCCGTTCTATCGCCTTATCTTAGAGGCCATGTAGGAGGAGAGGAGGAGAGGACGACGCAAGATCAATTGGATGACAAATGTGATGACACCGACAGATAAACCGGCGCAGCCGATGCTGACGGGACCGTGCGAGGGACGGGCAAGCGTGGAGAGCGCTGACGGCCGTTGCGGACTGACGATGATTATAATATCCCGTAGCGTTTATATTGTCAATCTCGCTAGTTTTTCTAAGGGTGCATATTACTGCAATGCGATTTGAATTCAAATTTCAATATTGATAAATAATTATGTGCAGGGTTCGATGCATATATTGAGCATCAAAATTGATTTTAATTGAATCACTGATGCATTGCGTGTTTATTGTCTTCAGTTCAATGGTGCAACATTGGAGATGATTGACATTTGAGGATGGCGCACAAACAACTCTTGGCTTTGTAATATCTGTGGACATTATCTGGAATTCCATGGCAGGATTAGGTAATAAATGTGCAAGTTCAGATAGCACATGGCAAGAAAGCACTGTATATGCCATCAGCCATAGGTTGCCGTGGGTTGGGTACATGTGGAGGAGGGAAGAGGGCAGGTTAGACGGATCGTAGTGGCATTCAAAGGTCGGCGACCATGGGAAAGATCTGAAGGCAACAGATTGTGGGATATTGCAGGTTGTCTTTGGAACTCTGCAAGGATGGGATCCAGCGATGGTGAGGTGCTTGCACGGCCTACGCCTCTGAGGGTTGGACCCTGACTCGAGTTCACAGCATTCCAAAATAAAATATGTAAAAAATAAAAATAAAAAACACGCTTTAATGAAATGTACCGTACTCGTAATGGCAGAACTACACGACTCCTGGAAGTGGCCCCGCAGCTTGCCACAGCGTAAGGGGCCGTGGTGATTTACAGGCAACGTGAGTTGAGCGTGGACAATTAGACCCGTAAAAAAGATTGTTTAAAAATATATATTTTTTATTTTTAATGATAGAAAATAGTATTGTCATCAGTATGACATACCTATACCAATTTTGCAGTCGATACGACAATGGGAAGATGGTTGAAATTGAGTTCCAAGATTTGATGATACGACAACAGACTGAGTTAAATAAAAGAGTGTAAAATGTTTAAAATATATATTTTTAACGTTTAATGATAGAATATAGTCTTGTTATCAGTACGACATAAGTATACCAAGTTTTCAGTCGATAACACATTGGGAAGTGAGTAAAAATTGAGTTACAAGTGTTTTTTAAGGATACGACAACAGACGGAGTGAGTTAAATAAAAGCGTGTAATAAAAATGCAGTTGTGTGGTTTGCAGTGCGAGTGCCTCTATTGTCAATCAGTTGGGCCACCTTTTTGCCGATTCCCAGAAACAATCAGCCCCACTCATGTCTTCAGGAAGCATCCAGTAGGGGTTCCACCAGCTCTGCTGGCTGTCACACCTAGACGGACAAAGAGGCAGTGTTAATTGCAGCAATGAGTGAATTTAGACTGAACCATTAAAACAACCATAAAGGTATCCGTGAAAGTTCAAGCACATTGGCAAGAATGCTGCGTGGACACACGCCCACTATCTATACAGGACTAAATCCGCTCCAGACATCGACATCACACACCACGGGACACCCCTGCAAGCCAATATCATCCCGTTTGTACCTGGTGGTCACCCATCGAAGCGCTAAGCAGGCTCAGAGCCTGCTTAGATTTCTGACGATATTGACTTTAATTCCTGGCTTTTTGTCAGAATATTAACTCCATGTGTAGTAATAAGCGAATGACACAGGTTCGTGGTAATTATCAATAACCACTGCATACCAAAGGTGCTTAGTAAAGTCAGTTTAACATCAGGTAGGCTTTCCCGACCAACATCATCCATAATAGAGGTTTTCTGGGTTAGATCGCGTAATTATATCAATGTGCCGTTAAAACCCGGGGTGGCAACGTAGTTTGTTGAGCATCCGCGTCTTGTTTACGGTTCAACTCCAACGGCCGCCCTGGTCATTCATTCCTCGATCGTACCTCGTGCAGTCTGCTCCACAGCTGACGTTAAAAGACCGACCCCGTGACGGAATTCGCAAGAGTTGGCCACTGTGTGCCGGGGTACGCGTTTGCCAAATTGCAAAATTTCAACGCAAGCTTCTCAATTTGGGATTCTACACCCATAGCAGCAATCGGCGCCCGCTAGCGGCACATTCATGTCCCCAGGTCGCTCTTGCAAATGAGTCTCTGTTAGAGTTCTCACCTAACCCGATTAAACACAACCACACCTGAACACTATGCCAGCACTGCGATGACTCCACACAGAGTAACCACCACTACTACACAGAGTGACCACCACCACACAGAGTGACCACCACCACACAGATTGACCACCACCACTACACAGAGTGACCACCACCACTACTACACAGAGTCACCACCACCACCACCACTACACAGAGTGACCACCACCACACAGAGTGACCACCACCACACAGAGTGACCACCACCACACAGAGTGACCACCACCACACAGAGTGACCACCACACAGAGTGACCACCACCACACAGAGTGACCACCACCACACAGAGTGACCACCACCACTACACAGAGTGACCACCACCATGGCACCACCACTACACAGAGTGACCACCACCACACAGAGTGACCACCACCACACAGAGTGACCACCACCACTACACAGAGTGACCACCACCACTACACAGAGTGACCACCACCACACAGAGTGACCACCACCACACAGAGTGACCACCACACAGAGTGACCAATACCACCACACAGAGTGACCACCACTACACAGAGTGACCACCACCACCACCACCAGAGTGACCACCACCACCACTACACAGAGTGACCACCACCACCACTACACAGAGTGACCACCACACAGAGTGACCACCACACAGAGTGACCACCACCACACAGAGTGACCACCACCACACAGATTGACCACCACCACTACACAGAGTGACCACCACCACTACTACACAGAGTCACCACCACCACCACCACTACACAGAGTGACCACCACCACACAGAGTGACCACCACCACACAGAGTGACCACCACCACACAGAGTGACCACCACCACACAGAGTGACCACCACACAGAGTGACCACCACCACACAGAGTGACCACCACCACACAGAGTGACCACCACCACTACACAGAGTGACCACCACCATGGCACCACCACTACACAGAGTGACCACCACCACACAGAGTGACCACCACCACACAGAGTGACCACCACCACTACACAGAGTGACCACCACCACTACACAGAGTGACCACCACCACACAGAGTGACCACCACCACACAGAGTGACCACCACACAGAGTGACCAATACCACCACACAGAGTGACCACCACTACACAGAGTGACCACCACCACCACCACCAGAGTGACCACCACCACCACTACACAGAGTGACCACCACCACCACTACACAGAGTGACCACCACACAGAGTGACCACCACACAGAGTGACCACCACCACCACACAGAGTGACCACCACCACCACTACACAGAGTGACCACCACCACCACTACACAGAGTGACCACCACCACCACTACACAGAGTGACCACCACCACTACACAGAGTGACCACCACCACTACACCACCACCACCACCACCAGAGTGACCACCACCACTACACAGAGTGACCACCACCACACCACCACACTGACCACCACCACTACACAGAGTGACCACCACCATCACCACCACACAGAGTGACCACCACCACCACCACCACTACACAGAGTGACCACCACCACTACACAGAGTGACCACCACCACCACACAGAGTGACCACCACCACCACCACTACACAGAGTGACCACCACCACCACTACACAGAGTGACCACCACCACACAGAGTGACCACCACCACCACCACACAGTGACCACCACCACTACACAGAGTGACCACCACCACCACTACACAGAGTGACCACCACCACCACTACACAGAGTGACCACCACCACCACTACACAGAGTGACCACCACCACCACTACACAGAGTGACCACCACCACTACACAGAGTGACCACCACCACTACACAGAGTGACCACCACCACCACCACTACACAGAGTGACCACCACCACCACTACACAGAGTGACCACCACCACTACACAGAGTGACCACCACCACTACATAGAGTGACCACCACCACTACACAGAGTGACCACCACCACTACACAGAGTGACCACCACCACCACTACACAGAGTGACCACCACCACCACTACACAGAGTGACCACCACCACCACCACACAGAGTGACCACTGTTACCGTCGTCTCCGCGGCGTCCCGCGCGCTGCCCGCCGCTCGGATAGATTCGCCGCCGGCGAGGAGCCACCCTCCGCGGCAGCGCGAGGACATCGCTCCGAGGCCCCAACCGCGGACACCGCGACCACCGCGACCACCACCGCGGCTGCTGCGAGCGACAGCTGCAGCAGTGGAGAGAGCAAGGCGGGTGTCGCCGCGCGCACGCCGCGCCGCATGTTTGCTACACCGGCCTCATGGTGGTGCAGGGTGGGGGGCAGGGGGGGGCAGGGGCCGCGCTCTGCACGGCTGGGCGCAATCAGTGCCGTGGCCTCTACACGAGACGCGCATGGGGGTGGTGGGGAGGGGTGGTGGGGGGGGTGGGGGGGAGGGGTGGTGGAGGGGGGTGGGGGGGAGGGGTGGGGGGGTGAGTGGTGGGGGGGAGGGGTGGTGGGGAGTGGTGGGGGGGATGGGTAGGGGTGAGTGGTGGGGGTGAGTGATGGGGGGGAGTGGTGGAGGTGAGTGGTGGGGGGGAGTGGTGGGGGGGAGTGGGGGGGTGGTGGTGGCGGTGGGGGGAGGGGTGGGGGTGGGGGGAGTGGTGGGGGGGAGGGGTGGGGGTGAGTGTTAGGGGGGAGGGGTGGTTTGGCGGTGGGAGTGTTGGGGGGGAGGGGTGGGGGTGAATGGTGGGGGGAGGGGTGGGGGGGAGTAATGGGAGTGTTGGGGGCGAGGGGTGGTGGGGGGAGGGGGGAGTGGTGGGGGGAGGAGTGGGGGTGAATGGTGGAGGGAGGGGTGGGGGGAGTAGTGGGAGTGTTGGGGGCGAGGGGTGGTGGGGGGAGGGGTGGGGGGAGTGGTGGGGGGAGGGGTGGGGGTGAGTGGTGGGGGGTAGTGGTGGGGGGGATTGGTGGGGGTGAGTAGTGGGGGGAGGGGTGGGGGGGAGTAGTGGGGGTGAGTGGTGGAGGTGAGTGGTGGGGGTGAGTGGTGGGGGGGAGTGGTAGGGTGGAGTGGTGGGGGCGGTGGGGGGAGGGGTGGGGGGAGTGGTGGGGGGAGGGGTGGGGGTGAGTGGTGGGGGGGATTGGTGGGGGTGAGTAGTGGGGGTGAGTGGTGGGGGGTAGTGGTGGGGGGGATTGGTGGGGGTGAGTAGTGGGGGGGAGGGGTGGGGGGGAGTGGTGGGGGTGAGTGGTGGAGGTGAGTGGTGGGGGTGAGTGGTGGGGGGGAGTGGTAGGGTGGAGTGGTGGGGGCGGTGGGGGGAGGGGTGGGTGGAGTGGTGGGGGGAGGGGTGGGGATGAGTGGTGGGGGGTCGTGGTGGGGGGGATTGGTGGGGGTGAGTAGTGGGGGGAGGGGTGGGGGGGAGTGGTGGGGGTGAGTGGTGGAGGTGAGTGGTGGGGGTGAGTGGTGGGGGGGAGTGGTAGGGTGGAGTGGTGGGGGCGGTGGGGGAGGGGTGGGGGGAGGGGTGGGGTGAGTCTTGGGGGGAGGGGTGGGGGTGAATGGTGGGGGGAGGGGTGGGGGGGAGTGGTGAGAGTGTTGGGGGCGAGGGGTGGTGGGGGAGGGGTGGGGGGAGTGGTGGGGGGAGGGGTGGGGGGGAGTGGTGAGAGTGTTGGGGGCGAGGGGTGGTGGGGGGAGGGGTGGGGGGGAGTGGTGGGGGGAGGGGTGGGGGTGAATGGTGGGGGGAGGGGTGGGGGGGAGTGGTGAGAGTGTTGGGGGCGAGGGGTGGTGGGGGAGGGGTGGGGGGAGTGGTGGGGGGAGGGGTGGGGGGGAGTGGTGAGAGTGTTGGGGGCGAGGGGTGGTGGGGGGAGGGGTGGGGTGAATGGTGGGGGGAAGGGTGGGGGGGAGTAATGGGAGTGTTGGGGGCGAGGGGTGGTGGGGGGAGGGGTGGGGGGGAGTGGTGGGGGAGGGGTGGGGGTGAATGGTGGAGGGAGGGGTGGGGGGGAGTAGTGGGAGTGTTGGGGGCGAGGGGTGGTGGGGGGAGGGGTGGGGGTGAGTGGTGGGGGGTAGTGGTGGGGGGGATTGGTGGGGGTGAGTAGTGGGGGGAGGGGTGAGGGGGAGTGGTGGGGGTGAGTGGTGGAGGTGAGTGGTGGGGGTGAGTGTTGGGGGGGAGTGGTAGGGTGGAGTGGTGGGGGCGGTGGGGGGAGGGGTGGGGGGAGTGGTGGGGGGAGGGGTGGGGGTGAGTGGTGGGGGGGATTGGTGGGGGTGAGTAGTGGGGGTGAGTGGTGGGGGGTAGTGGTGGGGGGGATTGGTGGGGGTGAGTAGTGGGGGTGAGTGGTGGGGGGTAGTGGTGGGGGGGATTGGTGGGGGTGAGTAGTGGGGGGGAGGGGTGGGGGGGAGTGGTGGGGGTGAGTGGTGGAGGTGAGTGGTGGGGGTGAGTGGTGGGGGGGAGTGGTAGGGTGGAGTGGTGGGGGCGGTGGGGGGAGGGGTGGGGGGAGTGGTGGGGGGAGGGGTGGGGGTGAGTGGTGGGGGGTCGTGGTGGGGGGGATTGGTGGGGGTGAGTAGTGGGGGGGAGGGGTGGGGGGGAGTGGTGGGGGTGAGTGGTGGAGGTGAGTGGTGGGGGTGAGTGGTGGGGGGGAGTGGTAGGGTGGAGTGGTGGGGGCGGTGGGGGGAGGGGTCGGGGGAGGGGTGGGGTGAGTCTTGGGGGGAGGGTTTGGGGTTAGTGGTGGGGGGGAGTGGTGGGGGTGAGTAGTGGGGGGGGAGTGGTGGGGGGGGAGTGGTGGGGGAACAAGAGGTGGGCCACTCGCGGATACTCAGATAATAATAGTAGTAGTAGGTTCACAGGCTGAAGAGGTCTCGTTGAGATTGCGTGTCGCATCTGGCCGGGAATTAAAGGGCTGTCCATAAATGACGTCACGCACCTGGGGGGGGGGGTTGGAGAAATGTGACGTCACATCAAAATGCGCAACTTTAAATAAATATAGACAACACGTTCTTCTTAATTAAATTGACTTTTTAATAAATGTTTTCTACTACAACATCAGAGTGCAGCGCCACATTAAATACGCACTACAATGACAATAGTTTAACGAGATTTGAAGCATTTTTTTATTTTTTTGGGGGGGGCAGAGCTTTGTGACGTCATATTTGAGGGGGGGTCTGACTTTTTGTGACGCCGTGTGACGAGAGGGGGGGGGGGGTGTTAACAAGTATAACCCGTAAAAACAAAGTTTTTCACTATAAATCCTTTATATGCGTGGCGGCTAGAGTCCTCTCGTCCTCTGGCTTGAGATGGCTGCCACCTATGGGTCAGATGATTGCATTGCACCATTAAGCAATTGGTAATTAAATATAATATTTTTGTCCCAAAAAGTGTAAAATTTTTGAAAAAAAATTTCACGAACATTAATTATCACGCACAACGAGTCTTTGTGGAAAATGTCAGCTCGATTGCATCACGGGAAGTGGGTTAAAAAACGACCGAAAGATTTGCACGGTCCTAAGCAAGCAAGCGAACTTAATATAAAGGATTTAAAAATATATTCGCCTTTGGAGGACGCGGGGATCGATCCCGCGACTCTTTGGCATGGGAAGCGAGGGCACTACCAACTGCGCTACTCCGCCACGGCCTGTGGGAGGTGTCACGTTCTGGGCTCTTACACTCTGACGTTCAGCCAAAGCCATGAATGAGTTCTATTTGAATAAATGTAAATTAAATTTTTTTTGCCTAAAAAGTGTAAAATTTTGGAAAAAAAATTTCACGAACATTAATTGTCTCGCACAACGAGTCTGTGTCAGCTCGATTGGATCACGGGAAGTGGGTTAAAAAACGACCGAAAGATTTGCACGGTCCTAAGCAAGCAAGCAAGCACGCAAGCAAGCGAGCGAACTTAATATAAAGGATTTAAAAATCGTCCAAAATGGCGTGACGTCATTTATGGACGGCCCCTAAGCTCTGTGTTGGCGTGCGCGTGACTGTGACAATAACCACACGAGGCCGGTGATTGACAGCTCGCCTTAGTCCCTCCCCCTACCGTGACCCCTCCCCCCCCGTGCATTAGCCCCGCCCCTTGTCTGGGTCCCTCCCCCTCGCGACCCCCTCAGCAGGTCGCTGGTTGTGGAGGGGGGGGGGTGAACAGGAGCGGGGGGGGGGGGCTTCCGGAAGTGACGTCACGCGCAGGGCGTCGCCATGGCCACGTGAGGAGGTGGAGGAGATGGAGCGGCGGGGTTTGTAGCGAAGAGCAGCTTGGGGCCCCCGTGCAGCAACAACAACAACAGCAGCAACAACAACAACAACAGCGGCAACAACAGCGGCAACAACAACAGCGGCGGCGGCAGCGGGAGAAGCAGCAGCAGCCGCACAAGGTGGAGCGGCCACGCTTCACAGCGCGGCTGGAAAAGTACGACCTGTCACGTGTACTGCAGTACAGTACTGTACAGTGTCAATCTTGTACTGTGCAGTGCGTTACGGTCTTAAGTGCTGCAGCAGTACAGTGCAGCCCTTTAGTGAGCCTCGCTCCGTGTGGGACGTGGAGGTTGTTGTCGCCAAACTTCACGCTCGGCCAATGCGGGTTTGTGAAGGCGGGGGGCATAGACGTGTACAGTACAACCAGTGCACCTATTTGTTTATGGGGTGGTCGTTCATTCGGTCAGAATCGTGAGAACCTATTTGTGTATGGGGTGGTCGTTCATTCGGTCAGAATCGTGAGATCCTATTTGTTTATGGGGTGGTCGTTCATTCGGTCAGAATCGTGAGAACCTATTTGTTTATGGGGTGGTCGTTCATTCGGTCAGAATCGTGAGATCCTATTTGTTTATGGGGTGGTCGTTCATTCGGTCAGAACCATGAGAACCTATTTGTTTATGGGGTGGTCGTTCATTCGGTCAGAATCGTGAGATCCTATTTGTTTATGGGGTGGTCGTTCATTCGGTCAGAACCATGAGAACCTTTTTGTTTATGGGGTGGTCGTTCATTCGGTCAGAACCGTGAGATCCTATTTGTTTATGGGGTGGTCGTTCATTCGGTCAGAATCGTGAGATCCTATTTGTTTATGGGATGGTCGTTCATTCGGTCAGAACCGTGAGATCCTATTTGTTTATGGGATGGTCGTTCATTCGGTCAGAACCGTGAGCACCTATTTGTTTATGGGGTGGTCGTTCATTCGGTCAGAATCGTGAGAACCTATTTGTTTATGGGATGGTCGTTCATTCGGTCAGAATCGTGAGATCCTATTTGTTTATGGGATGGTCGTTCATTCGGTCAGAACCATGAGAACCTATTTGTTTATGGGATGGTCGTTCATTCGGTCAGAACCATGAGAACCTATTTGTTTATGGGGTGGTCGTTCATTCGGTCAGAATCGTGAGTACCTATTTGTTTATGGGGTGGTCGTTCATTCGGTCAGAATCGTGAGATCCTATTTGTTTATGGGGTGGTCGTTCATTCGGTCAGAACCATGAGAACCTATTTGTTTATGGGGTGGTCGTTCATTCGTTCAGAATCGTGAGTACCTATTTGTTTATGGGGTGGTCGTTCATTCGGTCAGAATCGTGAGATCCTATTTGTTTATGGGGTGGTCGTTCATTCGGTCAGAACCATGATAACCTTTTTGTTTATGGGGTGGTCGTTCATTCGGTCAGAACCGTGAGAACCTATTTGTTTATGGGGTGGTCGTTCATTCGGTCAGAATCGTGAGATCCTATTTGTTAATGGGATGGTCGTTCATTCGGTCAGAATCGTGAGATCCTATTTGTTTATGGGATGGTCGTTCATTCGGTCAGAACCGTGAGAACCTATTTGTTTATGGGATGGTCGTTCATTCGGTCAGAATCGTGAGAACCTATTTGTTTATGGGATGGTCGTTCATTCGGTCAGAACCTTGAGAACCTATTTGTTTATGGGATGGTCGTTCATTCGGTCAGAATCGTGAGAACCTATTTGTTTATGGGATGGTCGTTCATTCGGTCAGAACCTTGAGAACCTATTTGTTTATGGGATGATCGTTCATTCGGTCAGAATCGTGAGATCCTATTTGTTTATGGGATGATCGTTCATTCGGTCAGAACCGTGAGAACCTATTTGTTTATGGGGTGGTCGTTCATTCGGTCAGAATCGTGAGTACCTATTTGTTTATGGGGTGGGCGTTCATTCGGTCAGAATCGTGAGATCCTATTTGTTTATGGGGTGGTCGTTCATTCGGTCAGAACCATGAGAACCTTTTTGTTTATGGGGTGGTCGTTCATTCGGTCAGAACCGTGAGAACCTTTTTGTTTATGGGATGGTCGTTCATTCGGTCAGAACCGTGAGATCCTATTTGTTTATGGGGTGGTCGTTCATTCGGTCAGAATCGTGAGAACCTATTTGTTTATGGGATGGTCGTTCATTCAGTCAGAACCGTGAGAACCTATTTGTTTATGGGATGGTCGTTCATTCGGTCAGAACCGTGAGATCCTATTTGTTTATTGGATGGTCGTTCATTCGGTCAGAACCGTGAGAACCTATTTGTTTATGGGGTGGTCGTTCATTCGGTCAGAATCGTGAGAACCTATTTGTTTATGGGGTGGTCGTGCATTCGGTCAGAATCGTGAGAACCTATTTGTTTATGGGATGGTCGTTCATTCGGTCAGAACCTTGAGAACCTATTTGTTTATGGGATGGTCGTTCATTCGGTCAGAATCGTGAGAACCTATTTGTTTATGGGATGGTCGTTCATTCGGTCAGAACCTTGAGAACCTATTTGTTTATGGGATGATCGTTCATTCGGTCAGAATCGTGAGATCCTATTTGTTTATGGGGTGGTCTCGTTCATTCGGTCAGAATCGTGAGAACCTATTTGTTTATGGGATGATCGTTCATTCGGTCAGAATCGTGAGATCCTATTTGTTTATGGGGTGGTCTCGTTCATTCGGTCAGAATCGTGAGAACCTATTTGTTTATGGGATGGTCGTTCATTCTGTCAGAATCGTGAGAACCTATTTGTTTATGGGGTGGTCGTTCATTCGGTCAGAACCGTGAGCACCTATTTGTTTATGGGGTGGTCTCGTTCATTCGGTCAGAATCGTGAGAACCTATTTGTTTATGGGGTGGTCTCGTTCATCCGGTCAGAATCGTGAGAACATATTTGTGTATGGGGTGGTCGTTCATTCGGTCAGAATCGTGAGAACCTATTTGTTTATGGGATGGTCGTTCATTCGGTCAGAACTGTGAGAACCTATTTGTTTATGGGGTGGTCTCGTTCATTCGGTCAGAATCGTGAGAACCTATTTGTTTATGGGGTGGTCTCGTTCATTCGGTCAGAATCGTGAGCACCTATTTGTTTATGGGGTGGTCGTTCATTCGGTCAGAATCGTGAGAACCTATTTGTTTATGGGGTGGTCGTTCATTCGGTCAGAATCGTGAGCACCTATTTGTGTATGGGATGGTCGTTCATTCGGTCAGAATCGTGAGAACCTATTTGTTTATGGGGTGGTCGTTCATTCGGTCAGAATCGTGAGAACCTATTTGTGTATGGGATGGTCGTTCATTCGGTCAGAATCGTGAGAACCTATTTGTTTATGGGGTGGTCGTTCATTCGGTCAGAATCGTGAGAACCTATTTTTTTATGGGGTGGTCGTTCAATCGGTCAGAACCGTGAGATCCTTTTTGTTTATGGGGTGGTCGTTCATTCGGTCAGAATCGTGAGAACCTATTTGTTTATGGGGTGGTCGTGCATTCGGTCAGAATCGTGAGAACCTATTTGTTTATGGGGTGGTCTCGTTCATTCGGTCAGAACCGTGAGATCCTATTTGTTTATGGGGTGGTCTCGTTCATTCGGTCAGAAGCGTGAGAACCTATTTGTTTATGGGGTGGTCGTTCATTCGGTCAGAATCGTGAGAACCTATTTGTTTATGGGTTGGTCGTTCATTCGGTCAGAAGCGTGAGAACCTATTTGTTTATGGGGTGGTCTCGTTCATTCGGTCAGAATCGTGAGAACCTATTTGTGTATGGGGTGGTCTCGTTCATTCGGTCAGAACAGACCATGGCACATCTCACGACTCTGTTTCCGATTCGCAAACACAGAGGAGGAGGAGGCATCACTATGGCGAGGCCACTCCGCTTCAACTCAACGTAGCTGTTGAATTACATCGTCAACATCGAATATACTAAGAAGAAGTTCCAATCACTATCCAGGCTCAGCCCAGCTTAAAGTACTCTGTCATATACCATACGTTTTGATACTATGAGTGTTTAATGTACAATTACTGCTACTTTAGGTGTAGTGCTATATTAATGTCGTACTTGTACTATACTATACAATGTGGTGCTATGTATTATAATGTATTATAATATACAACATCGTGCAGTGTGTAGTGGTATTTGCCAAGCCACAGGAATCAGTGGCCAACCCCACGAGACGACATCGCTGTAGAGTCCAGGGGTATGGAACCTTTATTCTGCCAAGGGCCATTTGGATATTTGTAACATCATTCGCGGGCCATACAAAATGATCAACTTAAAAATTATCCTGTTATATGCGGTCAAACATTTAATTAACTCACCCCTAATGTGATGGCTGGAACTGCTTCTCTTTGGCGAGGCGTGTGATGTTAGCTGGTATTGATGATGTTGCTGCTACTCGAAACTGCTTTTCCAGGTTTGCTCCTAGATTTATTGAATTTCGAGGCCCGCCTGCGGTTGCCTTGGCAGGGCCACACCAAATGATTTCGCGGGCCGGACGTTCCCCAGCCCTGCTGTAGACAGACCCACGAGCCTGTACCAGCCACCACTGCACAAAGCCTTTCAATGGTCACACTGTGTAACAATTGTTTTTTGTTCCTGGGTACTAAGTGTTATTTCCTAATGGCTAATGCCTGAAAAGTACAGAAAATGGCTATTAGTCCCCACAAACTTTGCTTTTGTGACCAGGACAGTGATATTTTAGGAATTCACCTAGTTTCAATGAGAATACGGGCGAATTTGTCTCTTTTCGTTTACATAAAGTCAGAAAAAAACAACATATGAATCAAAATTAACATGTATTTATACTAAAGTAATACAAAAATTACTACAAAATATTTAGACACCAAGGCGTACTACCACAGGCGGGACTGGCCACAGCGGACTGAGTTCTCTGTTGGGAGGAACAACGTCAAGTGGGAGCCACTGGTGGACCCCCGGAAGGTGCTGATGCCACCACTGCACATCAAATTGGGCCTTGTGAAAAAATTTGTCAAAGCTGTCGGCAGCCTTCAAGAACCTTCAAGACTGTCTGAGACAAAGGTCAAAGCCAGTGTCTTTGTCGGACCACAGATAAAGAAGATCCTGGAGTGCAATTATTTCCCCAAGTAGCTCACTAGTAAGGAGAAAGTGGCTTGGAACAGCTTTGCCGCAGTGAGTCGTGACTTCCTGGGCAACCACAAGGTCACCAACTATGTGGAGCTGGTTGAGACTGGTGAAGAACTACGGCACAATGGGCTGTAGGATGACCCTCAAAGTCCATATCCTTGAAGATCATCTTGATAAATTCAAGGAGAACTGGCGAGTGATCTCGGAGGAACAAGGCGAGCGCTTCCACCAGGATATACTGGACTTTGAACGCCGCTACCAAGGACAGTATAACGAGAACATGATGGGAGACTACATTTGGGGGCTGATTCGTGAAAGTGATTTACAGTTTAATCGTAAATCTCGAAAAACTACTCCTAAATCTTTTGTAGTCATTTTTGTATTACTTTGGTATAAATGCATGTTAATTTGTATTCATATGTATTTTTTTCTGACTTTATGTGAACAAAAGACACAAATTCGCCCGTTTTCTCATTGAAAATAGCCATTTTCTATACTTTTTAGGCAAAAGCAATTACGAAATAACACTTACTACCCTGGAACAAAAATTGTGTTACATTGTGTCATCAGTGTGGATACAACTATTCACTTGTTGGATTTTCTCCGATTTGTGACACATCTAGTGACATAGCAGTGATATTTTAGGTTTGGTGATCTGCTTTAAGGAGTTAGCATCACTGCAACCATTAACCAACACTAGACATTCATATAAAGAAAAAAACCGCATAACATAAATTCCAGCATGCTTTGTACCTCATAATTTCCACTATAGTGGTTTACCATGGCCCTGGTTCTTTTTATTCACTTCTCATTTTGTTTGCAGGACAGCGCTATAGATGCTTATATCAGTAGCGTCGTGTGATGTTACCGTGTAACGTAATCGATGAGAGTTAATACGTTTCTTGAATTGAACAAGGTTATTATCAGAACTTGTGAAACTAGACGAGGGTAGGTAATTCCCAATTAGAGTGGTGCAAGGGAAGAAGCAGAGAGAGAATTGTCGTCACATTTCAGTTTTTAGTTTCATTTATTAGGTATAGCCCTGTGAGCCATTCGGCTCTTGAATCGGGTGCAACTGCAACAAACAAAAAACAAAAACATGAACAAGAAAACATTTTTAAGTGAATATGTGACTATGCGCAAACAGAAAAATCCAGGAAAAAACTGCAAAGTCTTCCAGAAAAAACAAGCACCGTACACCAACGCTGTGCAAAAAATCCCAGTGGGATGCAAGTCAAACAACAACAACAACCACAAGACAACTTCGATTAAAGCCATCATTCTAACTCCGTACTACAACAAACAAACATGGCCAAACCAAAAAAAACTTTTCGAAACCACCTAAATAAAGCCATAAAATAATAAAATAATTAAAATTAAACATGGCTTTACCGAAAGAACCAAGACGATGAATCCCTGCAGTTACGAAAGCTTTAAATCGAAATTTAAAGCCATAAAAGCAATGTAACAATGATCATAGGAACTGTGGCAGTGTGTGTGCGAGTGGGTGAGTGAGTTTGTTGTTGTGACCAGCAGTGTACTGGTAGTTGAACACAGTATGGATGATAGACCGAATCCTTGGCATGCATAGAAAAAAAATCGACGAGTGACGTTTATGGGAACCGGTGGCTTGATCCGGCGCACACCGATTCACGAGCGGTCAGTCGTCTTGTTGTTATCTCTCTTCTATCACCACTTCCGTGGTTGCCGTTCCCATACATTTCACTCGTTAATTTTTGTACCCATGTTGAGGACGCGGTCGGTCCACCATACACCCTTTGTTGACTCATCTCTACTGCGTTTAACCACCACACTGTGGGTCACAGCACTTCCCTTTCTGATTCTTTCCTTGAACTGCTGCACTTGGGAATTCTCTCCCGTTTCCCGCAATCATAAAAAAATTGCCCGTCCTTGTGAAACGGATCACGCTGTGTTACGTATTTAAACGTTAATGTCACTTTTAGAACATTGTCTAGCAACATGACCTGCTCCAGCACCTGTTGGATGGGGGGGGGGGGCAGTAGAGGGGCTTTGTGTGCAACCATAACTGTGACGTTCCACCAAGGAGAGTGAACTTGGGTGGAGGGCCAGAGGGACGTGTGGTGGTGGTGCAGGATCCACCCCAGTGTCCCCTGAGTGGCAAGATGCAGATACCGATGGCCCTCGTATGCATATTGGGTGTGTACCAGAGGTCACAAACGGGTTTTGATTCCTTACCCGTACCCGGCCGCACCAGGGTCGCAAACGGGTACCCGTACCCGGCCGGGTACGGGTAGCCGGGTATCGGGTAGGGTATCGGGTACCCGGTTGCGACCTCTGGTGGGTACTGAGGGCCCATGTGTAAGAGGCAGGCCAGCATTTGTAGACCGCTGAAACCTCACCTCTTGGGCTGAGTCAATCCGTTAGCCTTTAGCCCCCCCCCCCCGCCCAGTAATGTTGTAAGCCACTAGTGTATTGTTTGTAGATGTATTGTCCCTACAGGATGCATTGCAAAGAGCAAGGCATGTTCATTCTTGTGTGTGTCGCTGTAAATACGCTTACGTAAGTGCGGTTAATTTATAACCATTGTCCACCGCTGCTAATTAGCGTGGTTGGCTCCGTACGCTGCAGAAGAAATTCAACAAACACGCACGCTTGGCGAGGACCCTCCCCATGCCGTGAGGGTTGTTTGACGATAAGGCGAGGAGCATAGGTGCAAGGGCACAGAAGTACACTACAACAATAGATTGTATTGGATTTGCCTCCTGCTGCCCACGGCATAGCCCCACAGGTTAATATGGAGACAACTCTATTCGTTGTTCCTTTGTCAGCACATCTGGCCCCTCCATTGGTGGTGGGATTTCTACCACTGGCTCTGCGCTACCACAAGCAATGAGCTGTTTGAGCACGGGGACACGGTAACTTGCCTATTGATATTTTTCATTGTGTTGGGCTGTTGCCAAACCAGACATTTGGCTGTTTGATGGCTGGAGCAAGCGGAAATGAGCAGCGTAAGAGAAGACTCGTGCATTTCAAGCACATTAACTGTATGCAAGTCATAGCGATTTAATTTTATCCACTTGTATTTCAAAATTATGTACAATTATTATTGTAAATGAATGGCAAATATATTTCATACATCATTCTCGGTCTCTCCAATTCGGCAATCTACCACGGACCTGCTTAATGAAGTATGGTCATCTGTCAGTGGACTTACGGAGCTGTATTATTATTTATTCTTATGGACACTGCAGCAGAGCAGAAGGAGTAATCCCCTCAATGAGGGGCGTTAAATGATAGTGTGGTTCCTAGGTCTTAGTCGCTTGGCATGTCATAATTATTTTGGCCATTGCATCTGCTTTGAATATTGCGTGTGTCAATAAACTATTCAAATTTTATACCAATGCACATTTAGGCTGATGGAAGGAATTTTATAGAAAAAAACGAATACGACAAAAAAAACCAGACGATACAAACACAACCGAACCCTTCAAAACACAGGAGATCTCGTTCATGCACTATAACTCAGATTTTTCATGGCACTCGAGATAGTAATGTGGAATTTCCACTGCTGATTCAGGGGCTGCAAACAGAGGTAGCACTGCCCCATGCTCGGTTGAGCACGAATACTCTACTATGGTTTTACATTTATACGTTGGGCTGTGATTCATAATACTGTACAGATCCTGTCCCCTCCATAATGATCATTTCTGTCCGGCATGCGCAGAACCTGTTTCTCATGATTAGCGAGCGCACCGCAGGCCAGCGATCAAAACGCAAAACACGCGGCTGTTGTACTTTTGAATGAGATGCTCTCCTCAGACCGCACCGATGACATCAACTGCTATCCAGCGAAGTGAAGGCTCTTGGGTTTGTGTGCCTGGTGGTCACTCATCCACGCGCGTTCCAGGCTCCAATTTGCTTAGCTTCCAAGGTCTAACGAGATTGGGCACATTCCGGAAGATTTTGTCTGGGTCTCAAATCATTACATTTATATAACTTGAAATAAAACATTCCTTTTCAAATGCGTAATACAGACATACTGGTTGCATAACAGCATGCGCTTGTTGCTACTGTATTAGTGTTTTATTTTTTGGCAATTAAATGTTCGATTTATGGTGGAAACCACAGAAATGTCGGGGCAGCAGTGGATAAATCGGCCAAGAAGAAGAAGAAAACAACACACGGTGGAAACATTAACGTATATACATTTTGGAAAGTATTTCCAGAAAGTTATTTGCTGATTTATTATAAAGTCTCATCCGCTACTTGTGCCAAATTGAATTGGTGTAAAGTTCACGTTGTGTAGCCATCTGGAACTCTGGCCTCTGCCTGGCAGCACTACCATCTATCTCCCAAACTGATTCGCATCAGGACTAAAGCCTTCATGTGACCCGCGCTTGCACTCCTGTTATTTTTATCCCCACCTAAACAAACATCTGATATAGGATCCTCCCATCACTGAGCCACCTGGTACCGACTAAAATCAACGTCCCACAAGGCTAGGTCAGGTCACCAGTTTAATTTGTGGAAAAACAGAGGAAGCCAGAAATGCGACTGCGGACACCTTGACCAAAACATACAGCGCATTGTGAACCATTCGGTGAATGTCGAATCTTGGAGCGCGTTATGAACCAGTGCCAACTTCGCAAATTCAATGGAAGTATGGCAGCGGCAGCAGGAGCAGCTCATTCAGCTTCACCTGAAACGGTCGCGTGGTTCTCAAACGTGTCTATAAATCTCTAAGTTGATATTCACTTTGCCATACACAACAATACGAATTACCACTTATGACGACACGAAACGTTTCCTGTGAGTGGATAATTACCCACCCCTCACTGCAAGGTTTTGTAAGTGCAATGCTGCACTCCTTTGTGTGTTGACGCTGTTCGTTTCCAGCCTGCATTGATTGCTCCGTTGTGATAGATTTTCTCATCATGTACAGATTAGTGCTTCATCAAAGCCTGCCAAGTCTGCATTTACGCACACACTCACACACTTTGGTGTGCGTGTCTCTGTGTCCCATTGCAGAGTGAGCGACGTCGTAAGGGAACGGTTTCTGCTGCTGCACCGGGAATGATGAGGTTACGAGGTGCGACGGGGTGCACACACATTCGCCGGAGCCGTGAGACCACATCGCCACAGTCCGCGGATCTCTCCACTGGCTCCCAGCCCACTCTGTCAATTACAAGAGTCCCTCACCATTCTCAGATGGGGACTCGTCCCTATCTGCCTCTCCCCTCTCCTCATCTCACTTTATTCCCCTCCACATACACTCCTATCTCGCCCATTTCCTATCACTCTACTCCCTTCCACACTTTCTCCATTGTCTCTCATGTCGTCTCACTTCTCCCCTATATGCTCACTCCTACCTCTCATCTCACTCTACTACCCTACACCTGCTGGAGCAACCAAAACATTGAAAGAATCATCAACCAACCCTCTTGTCAGCTGCTGCTCTGTGATCTGTGCTATTGACATTTTGCTGCTGTTCGTGTGCGGACTCGAGACCTCCCTCATTTCCCCTCCCTGCCACTTGCTGTCTCCCACTTATACACGTTAATCAAGGAGGTGTATATGAATACATTAAAGAGTTAATAGCATGGATGGCTGGGGGAGGTCCAGAACACACAGGTAGCGGAGGAAAATGAGCAACCTCCCACTGAATGAAGATTGACTCACTACTACGGCATGTATCCTGCTTTGCTGGAGCGCAGATCACGTGGAGGGGAGTAGAGTGAGATGAAAGGGAGGGGCAAGGTAGAAGGGGCCATTGAAAGCGCCGACGGTCTTGTAGTTGACTCGAAATGGATTGGGAGCCAGTGCCGGGATCCGAGGTAGGAAACTGCATCATCCACTCGCCTCCGATTAGCACGGTTGGCTAGAAGTTGGACATACATACATCTAAACGTGCTTCATTACTTCACGCTCGGGCTCGCTGAGCGGCAGGACGTCGCAGTGGTAACACTTGCGCCTCGTAGCAAGAAGCACCTCAGCTCGAATCCCGACTGGGGAGCCTTTCTATGTGGCGTTTGTTCTGCACCTGTTCCTGGTTCTCCAGTTTCCTGCCATTGCTGAAAAAGAACGACAATGTCATTCGAGTTGGCCAAACACCCCAATGCAAGGACCCTCCTTCAAAAAAGTGTTCGTACTCTGTTATTCCTGGGTAAATAAGTAATTTGAAAAAAATATCGCACGTGCAGACGCAGGCGTCCATGCTTGTTGGGAGAGCGAGTCGCTCACTGCCAGCTGTGTGACTCTCTCCCCTGCCGCGCACGCGCTGGCTGTGCCGTAGGTGTGGTGCGTCTGGCCATGGTCACCACCACGGTGCTGCTCATGTGGTACATGGCCACACAGCTCTTGGACATCCGGCTGGAAGCCAGCTTTCGCAGAGGTGAGGCTCTCACCGCAGGTGCGCGCAAAAACCGGCACGTGACACCTCAAGCCCTGCGACGGCGTTCCTGAGCTCACCAACGCCGAGTCTTGGCGTTTAACTCTGAACATTTAACGTGAAGAACACTCCTCTTATCCGAGACCCTATCATCCATACTTTCGTTCGTGCACTTGGCACTATTCACAGTTTATACCAACCACCACCTTCTTCAAGGTCAAGAGGTCATTATGACTAATGCCACCGATGCCAACACACACCTTGCCATCGCTTCCCTTGCTCTGCCAGATTGTATAATTGTCACGCAGTTGAAATGGAACCTTAAAAGACCACAGTTTTTTGTCATTTCGCTCACCCAGGTCACCCTTGCAAATGATAATATCCTACTCTTTGGTTTTTTCGGTAAAGTCACGATTTATTTTCGGTAAAGTCACATAAGTAAAAAATAAAATAAATGAAAACAACAAAATTAAATCACAACGTTTTGGGTGCAACACAAGCGTCCTTCTTCAGGTGGGGATAACGTAACGAAAGCACAACCGCTTAAGTGTGTCTACGAGATGGCTGTGACGAGGAACCAAAAAAAACCAAAGAGTATGAATCCTTGCAGTCACGAAAGCTTCACATCTAGAGATAATATCCTCGTCTCTTGAGTTCTCACCGGGGTTATCTTCACCGTTGTCTTGTTTCTCTTTTCATTTGCAGATCAAGTGACATCGCAGTCAACAAATGGCAGTACGTTGTTACTTCTCAACTGCTTGGGCTTTTACCTACACGGGTTTGGCAAATGGATCATTCCAATTGTGATTTCATAAGTATTTAGAGTTCCGAGTATTTTGACGAGAAGTCGCCTGCAATATAAATGGTAGTGCTTGACCATACTTCACCATGCTGGTCAGTGTGGATTAATGAAGGGGGAGCTGGGACCAGTTAGAATATCATTCGCCACTGACTTTAGGTGTGGCCAGGAATCTAACTCAGCTTGCCAGTTCATCGTTCACTGTGCCAATCGGTGCGCCTCCGTTTCACTCCCGTTAATATATTGGCCATTGTCAAATAATCAAAATCAATCAATCTTTATTTTACGTACCCAATATTGCCTTGAATAAAGTAAGCATCACTGCACATTGGAACGGATTCATAAAAACAACCACGGTTCTCTTGAAAAGATGCTAGGCTTATGTTATTCAGAAAATATACGCCGCGACCGTTGCCTTGACCTGGCGGCACGGGGCTGCCAAGCACTTGGAGGATCCCGCCGCTGCTCTGCCGAGCCGCTCGCCGAGCCGGGGACGTGTCCGTGTTCCCCCTTTCCAGCAGCGCCCCGACCCGTTCGCTTCAAGTGCGGCCTCACCGAGCCCTGCCCCGACAAGCACTTCGCCTTCCGGGTCGTCAGCGGCTCGGCCAGCATCGTCGGGCCCAAGATCTGCTTCGAGGACGTCGTGTGAGGACCGGCAGAGCGCGCCGCTCGCGTTGCGCAGACCCACACACGCCGTGAGAACCGAGCGCCGCCACCAGTGGCGGGGGGGGTGGGGGGATGCAGCCCCGTTGCGGATATTGAGCAGGGGTCGCTTTGCGACGCGCGGGGAGGCATGCACCGACGCGCGCGTCGCAAAGCGACCCCTGCTCAATATGGCCAATGGCAGTTAGGTAGGGAGTGGCACCGGGCGTGGAGAGCTCTGAATTGCCGCACCACGGCCGATGTCGCGACGCGTGACCTGCCTAGTCGCTGGACGTTCACCGGTGGTAACGCTCGGTAGCGGTCTGAAAAAACCTGTTCGGCATCGTGTTTCTCTACATTGAGAACGAGCACAAGCCCTTCTTGTTTTGTGCCCTTTTGTGTCTTGCAGACTGATGAGCAGCATAAAAAATAACGTGGGGAGAGGCCTCAACTTTGCTGTGGTTAATGGTAAGTGTGCGAGTGTTAACACGCGCTTACATTGCGGGGGTATTCGTGGTTTATTATCAACTGTAACATGTGTAGTGAGTTCAACTGCGTCACAGACGTTATTCTTTACAAGCAACACATTTATTATATCAACACGTAATACACAAAGGGGTAACTGCCCCTTTACCAGATACAGCCTAGGGTGGTGACCACCCAGCTAACTACGCTATACGGAGGAGTTACAGCTACGAAGGGTCGGACCATCGCTCGGGTCCCAGCCACGTGTTGATGCCTCGTAGGACGTAGAGCTTCCCGCTTGTAGGACGTTGAGCTTCCAGCTTGTAGGACGTAGAGCTTCCCGCTTGTAGGACGTTGAGCTTCCAGCTTGTAGGACGTAGAACTTCCCGCTTGTAGGACGTGGAGCTTCCAGCTTGTAGAACGAAGCGACCCTGTTCCCTCTCAGGGACCCGCCTTATATCCTCCCGGGTCAGGGCTGGATCCACCCAGGCTCCACCCACCTTCTCGAGCGTTCTAGCTCCCTCGCATCGCACGCCGTGCTGTGTTAGAGCCGGAATCACACAGCAACCCACCCGGTGCTGTCCGCGACGTAGGAACATCGCACGCCACGACCGTCCCGGTCCGGCACCATACAGTGACATCTCTGATGTCACCCTGATGTCACTACACATGCATAGTACGGTTGCCTATGTACGGTGCGAAAGAAGTTCAACATACGTGTATTTAATTCGCTATGTGTCGTGCATTGTGGGAGCTGGCACGACTATCGCGTTGTGATACGCAGTGCATGCTGGGAGTTGTCTATGCTAACCCAGTGAGGATTTGACGCACTCTGGGGGATCTACAGCCGCAAGGTGGTCACAGCCCCGGGGGGCTGTGAGATGGGACTACAGAGACAAATTTACAAGTTGCTATTTACGCCAGCAGTTTCGCACTGCTCGCGCACTGACGTGCATTGATGTCACTTTAAAAATGAAGCACCACCAAATAGTATTGTTATGTTTTCCAACGAAGGGTGAAAGCGTTGATGCATTAGCTTTTGGTGGCAGGGGGCCCAGTGGCAACGTTTGTGCCTCGTAGCAAGAAGGGGCTGATTTCGATTCCCGACTCGGGTGCCTCTGTGTGGAGCTCGCACGTTCTCTTGCCCTGCTCTGCGTGTTTTCCGGGTTCTCTGGTTTCCTCTCATAGCTAGAAAAACACTCAATGTAACTGGTATTGGCCAGACATCCCAATGTCAACAAGTTACCCGTAAATTACTGAATTGGGAGGATACACTACAACTTGATGGTAAAAAACCTGTGTAAATCAACTAGATCATGCCATGTGCGTGCCACGCTTCCATGCGTCGTCGTCACGCGTGATGTCACACGCCACCTCATCGCGTGGCTTGGAAGGTATCGTAATTGTCAATCACTAGACACTTCCCATAACAAATGCTATTTTACATGGTTAGACAGTCCATGAATATATATGGTTTTGCTTCCTTGTGTTGTTTTGTTTTCTCTTTCCGTAAGCGAGTGCGATGCTTGTGTCCTCCTACCGCAGGTGTGACAGGAGCCCTCCTCGACGTGCGGACGTTTGACATGTGGGCGGGCGGTGAGTGCGCAGGAGGCACAAGTCTGCGCGTAGACGAGAGTCGCGTGATGCGGCGACACCGTTACAGGGTGGCGGTGCAGTGGTAACACTCGCAGCGAGGGTTCGATTCCTTACTCGGCAACTCTCTGTGTGGAGTCTTTATGTTGGCCCTCTGTTCCGCATTGGTTTCCTCTGGGTCCTCCAGTTTTTCTTCTTTAGCTAAAAAAGAGACATGCATTCTAACTGGCATTGGCCAAACACCCCATTGCTTAAAGATTACCTGCGAATTACTGAATTGGGATTACACGTGGAAACATCGCCCCCTCTGCGAAAACCTGGCAGGACCCTCCTGAATATAAGCTTGAGACTCGCTGAGGCCTCGCTGGGTAAACAAGCCTCGTTATAATATGCATGGGGAACTGATATTGAGATAATTGTGACGTCGTGAGAAATGATATTGCAGGAACACTGATTTGGACAAATCGCTAACACGTGAATGCTGTCCAGTTGTACGCTTACTGCTGCCCAGGTGGTTTACTCCCATGGATCGTTAATTGTAAAAGGAATTAATCGGACTTGGAATATTCGTGAATATACAGGCCTTTATCAAACCACTGCTTCATCCAGCCCTTCCCACTGGCGTGATGGAGCACAGGGAGAGGCGTCGTGAGTGATGACGCATGCTCGCTGTGTCTGTGTGCTTTCACGCGTCAGATGTGGAGGAGCTCCTCAAGTTTCTGAGGACCATCCAGCGCGGCTCTATTGTGCTGGTGGCCACCTTCGATGATGGGGCCACAAAGTAAGATCATCTTCGCCACACCGCCGTGACAAACATCGCTTGTGTGCCGTGGTCACGCTCGTGCCTCACTGCAAGAAGGGTATTTGTTTGATTCCCGACTCGGGGACCTGTTTGTGTGGAGTTTGCGTATTCTCCCCTTGTTCTGCATAGGGTTGCTCTGGGCTCTCCCGTTTCCTCCCATAGCTAAGAACCAATATTGGCCAAACATCCAAATGTAAAAAAATACATCTTCAAATTACTCTGTTGGGATAACAGACAGCAGCAACATCTCCCCCTTGTGCGAAAACTTGGCAGGACCCTCCTGAAACAAGAGTCGGTGAGCCTTCCCTTGGTAACAAGCATAAAAATAATATCACAAAATTAACATTTAATTGAAAAAGGAAGTGGACAACGTCCCCCAATGCTGTTCGGATTTCACAACTCTCGGTTTCCCAACCGCCGTGGTCTCTTACGGCGAGGGAGGGGCGTCCCGCGGAAACGGTCCACTGTCTGTAGAAGCTGTAATACCGACTCTCGTGTTTTAAACGAACATTGCATGCACGCTTGATATTTTATGATGACTATGACTCCTACGATTCCCATGCACAATTCGATCATTGGGGTGCCCTGCGGGATGCTTCCCCCGTCGGTATCCTCCGACATGTGGTCTTGGGACTTGTTCAGTAGCAGCTCTGGGAGCATTGCTCTGCTCCACTGCATGACGTCATCCGAACCAGGTCTTTTGTTTTTCTCCTTCTACCGCTCCCTCATGAAGCACCGTTTTCAAGAAGTTGGTCTTCCTTCTCATGACACGGACAAACAATTGCAGTTTCATCTTCATGATGGTGTTAAAGAGAGACACTTGTTTGTCCAGCTATGAAGTTAAGGATCATCTGCTATTGCATGTTCAGTTCATTTATTTAGATGAATCCTCAGGATCCTAGGGTAACATTTCAATCTTGATTTGAAGCTTTTGTGACTGCAGGAATCCATACTCTTTCGTTCTTTCGGTAAAGTCACGTAGGTAGAAATAGAATAAAACAAATCACGACGTTTCGATCGCAACACCATCGGTCGTCATCATCGCTTGTGTTGCGATTGAAACGTCGTGATTGGTTTTATTTGATTTGATTTCGAACTACGTGACTTTACCGAAATAACCAAAGAGTATGGTAACGTTTCATTTCAAATGCTTGCGGATGCTTTTCTGTCTCGGCTGTCAGTCCACATTTTACAGCCATACATGACATGACAAATCTATATTTATAAAAGGGAAATTTGTGAATATGTGTGTCTGTTTGATATATTTAGCATACTTCCCGACATGCAACAAACTTGAAATTTGGCATGTGGGTAGTTTCCAGACTGTACACAGTGCAACACGTATAAAAATAGACTTTTGTATTTTGGGGGGGGGGGTGGGGGGGCGTCACGCACCCCCCCCCCCCCCACCCTCCGCGTAGGCCGTGTATTAATCCAAGACAAGAATCCAAGTCTCGGGCGAAGCCGGGTAGTAAAGCTAGTTGATAATACATTTATTGTTATGCTTGTTACAAAGGAAAGGCTTACTGAGTCTCAAGACTTTTTCAGGAGGGACCTTCCAAGCTTTCCCAGTTGGGGTTGATGTTGCTGCTGTGTGTAATCCCAATTGAGTTATCTGTAGGTAATGTTTCAGCATTGCGATGTTTGGCCAATACCAGTCGCATTGTATAATCCATGCAAACACATCCTCTTCCTAAAGTAAAGTGAGGCGGTGCTTGAATTGTTTCTGTGCAGGCTCAGCGTGGAGGCCCGTCAGCTGCTGTCCCATCTGGGCAGCACGGCAGTGAACAGCCTCGCGTTCCGGGACAGCTGGGTGTTTGTCGGGGCTCAGGGAATCTACGCCAAGAGCCCATTTGAGCTGGTGAGTGTGGGGGTAGAGCTTGGTGAGTGTGGGGGTAGAGCTGGTGAGTGTAGAGATAGAGCTGGTGAGTGTGGGGTAGAGCTGGTGAGCATGGGGGGTGGAGCTGGTGAGTGTGGGGGTAGAGCTGGTGAGCATGGGGGGTAGAGCTGGTGAGTGTGTGGGTAGCTGGTGAGTGTGGGGTAGAGCTGGTGAGTGTGGGGGTAGAGCTGGTGAGTGTGTGGGGTGAGCTGGTGAGTGTGGGGGTAGAGCTGGTGAGCATGGGGGGTAGAGCTGGTGAGTGTGGGGGTAGAGCTGGTGAGTGTGGGGGTAGAGCTGGTGAGTGTGGGGGTAGAGCTTGGTGAGTGTGGGGGTAGAGCTGGTGAGTGTAGAGATAGAGCTGGTGAGTGTGGGGTAGAGCTGGTGAGCATGGGGGGTGGAGCTGGTGAGTGTGGGGGTAGAGCTGGTGAGTGTGGGGTAGAGCTGGTGAGTGTGGGGGTAGAGCTGGTGAGTGTGGGGGGTAGAGCTGGTGAGCGTGGGGGTAGAGCTGGTGAGTGTGGGGGTAGAGCTGGTGAGTGTGGGGTAGAGCTGGTGAGTGTGGGGTAGAGCTGGTGAGTGTGGGGGTAGAGCTGGTGAGCGTGGAGGTTGAGCTGGTGAGGGTGGGGTAGAGCTGGTGAGTGTGGGGGGTAGAGCTGGGGTGAGTGTGGGGGGGTAGAGCTGGTGAGTGTGGGGGTAGAGCTGGTGAGTGTGGGGGTAGAGCTGGTGAGTGTGGGGGTAGAGCTGGTGAGTGTAGAGATAGAGCTGGTGAGTGTGGTTGGTAGAGCTGGTGAGTGTGGGGGTAGAGCTGGTGAGCGTGGGGGTAGAGGTGGGGAGCGTGGGGGTAGAGCTGGTGAGTGTGGGGGTAGAGCTGGTGAGCGTGGGGGTAGAGCTGGTGAGCGTGGGGGTAGAGCTGGTGAGCGTGGAGGTTGAGCTGGTGAGTGTGGGGGTAGAGCTGGTGAGTGGGGGGGAGAGCTGGTGAGTGTGGGGGTAGAGCTGGTGAGTGTGGGGGTAGAGCTGGTGAGTGTGGGGGTAGAGCTGGTGAGTGTGGGGTAGAGCTGGTGAGCGTGGGGGTAGAGCTGGTGAGCGTGGGGGTAGAGCTGGTGAGTGTGGGGGGTAGAGCTGGTGAGTGTGGGGGTAGAGCTGGTGAGTGTGGGGGTAGAGCTGGTGAGCGTGGGTGTAGAGCTGGTGAGCGTGGGGGTAGAGCTGGTGAGCGTGGGGGTAGAGCTGGTGAGTGTGGGGGTAGAGCTGGTGAGTGTAGAGATAGAGCTGGTGAGTGTGGTTGGTAGAGCTGGTGAGTGTGGGGGTAGAGCTGGTGAGCGTGGGGGTAGAGCTGGTGAGCGTGGGGGTAGAGCTGGTGAGTGTGGGGGTAGAGCTGGTGAGCGTGGGGGTAGAGCTGGTGAGCGTGGGGGTAGAGCTGGTGAGCGTGGAGGTTGAGCTGGTGAGTGTGGGGGTAGAGCTGGTGAGTGGGGGGTAGAGCTGGTGAGTGTGGGGGTAGAGCTGGTGAGTGTGGGGGTAGAGCTGGTGAGTGTGGGGGTAGAGCTGGTGAGTGTGGGGGTAGAGCTGGTGAGCGTGGGGGTAGAGCTGGTGAGTGTGGGGGTAGAGCTGGTGAGTGTGGGGGTAGAGCTGGTGAGTGTGGGGGTAGAGCTGGTGAGTGTGGGGGTAGAGCTGGTGAGCGTGGGGTAGAGCTGGTGAGCGTGGGTGTAGAGCTGGTGAGCGTGGGGGTAGAGCTGGTGAGCGTGGGGGTAGAGCTGGTGAGCGTGGGGGTAGAGCTGGTGAGTGTGGGGGTAGAGCTGGTGAGCGTGGGGGTAGAGCTGGTGAGCGTGGGGGTAGAGCTGGTGAGCGTGGGGGTAGAGCTGGTGAGTGTGGGGGTAGAGCTGGTGAGCGTGGGGGGTAGAGCTGGTGAGTGTGGGGGGTAGAGCTGGTGAGCGTGGGGAGTAGAGCTGGTGAGCGTGGGGAGTAGAGCTGGTGAGCGTGGGGGTAGAGCTGGTGAGCGTGGGGGTAGAGCTGGTGAGTGTGGGGGGTAGAGCTGGTGAGCGTGGGGGGTAGAGCTGGTGAGTGTGGGGGGTAGAGCTGGTGAGCGTGGGGAGTAGAGCTGGTGAGCGTGGGGAGTAGAGCTGGTGAGCGTGGGGGTAGAGCTGGTGAGCGTGGGGGTAGAGCTGGTGAGTGTGGGGGGTAGAGCTGGTGAGCGTGGGGGGTAGAGCTGGTGAGTGTGGGGGGTAGAGCTGGTGAGCGTGGGGAGTAGAGCTGGTGAGTGTGGGGGTAGAGCTGGTGAGTGTGGGGGTAGAGCTGGTGAGTGTGGGGGGTAGAGCTGGTGAGTGTGGGGGTAGAGCTGGTGAGCGTGGGGGTAGAGCTGGTGAGTGTGGGGGTTACTGAGTTGTTGCTGTGTGTAATCCCACTTGAGTAATTTGCAGCTTTGGGGTGTTTGCCCAATAGCAATTGCATCGTTTCAAACCCATGAAGAACAGGGGGAGAAATATACAAACTCCACATTCACAGGTTCTCAAGTCAGGTTATCGAACCCTGCTGCCCAAGTCATCCATGCTCGGTGTAGACATTCACCGTCTCGCGTGTGCCTCCTCTCTCCGTCTGTGCGTGACACCGCTAGCATGTGAGGAACAACCAGGACACAAACAAGTACGAAGGCTGGCCCGAAGCCCTGGAGCTTGAGGGCTGTGTTCCCGTGAAGGAGAACTGAAAGGAGGAGGCCTGCTGCTGTGAAGGTCACCTGATGGTGGAGCCCACTGTGAAGGAAATGGGAATTGCTCAAGCCACAGAGGGGGAGATCGTCACGCCCCGTCCAGCTGATGTCACCGCACCTCTCCGCTGGTCACTTCTGCCACATCCCACAGCTACTGAAACCAACACCCCCCTCCCACCACCTCCAGAGCTGTAGGGAGATGGGTGGGGGGGGGGGGGCTTCAGGGCTTCCCCTTGACCACCGAGTTGTGGACGCTACTCCAATGCCGGTCTCGGCGACTCTTCCCTCGTCCCCCACCCTGTACACACGTCCCCTCCACCGTAACCTCCTGTTGCTGAATACAACTCGTATCTTTGCTGCCACGTTCTTGCCATGCTCTGTGCTAAACTTCCACGTTGCTAACGTCGTCCTGCCCAGGAAGTTTTCCTAGAATTCTCCACGTGCAATTATACCCGTACGCCAGAATCTTTTTTTTCTGGTGATTATCTTTAAGCCCAATTTTCTATATTTTTATAGCGAGATCCACATTACTCCGGTCCATCTCTGATAGGGCATCTTCTCTGTGTTTTTTTAAGTAGGAGTTTATATCGTTGGTCAAAGCGGTGTACGTATTCCATAAAGACCCAACTCGTCCAGTGCAATACTTTGCTTGAGCTTCTCACACCTCTTATTTATGCAACCAACTCAAGATCCACGAAGTCCTCTACTACCTCCACGCTCTCACTCCTGAGATGAAGGTGCAAGGGCCCCCTTTCTCAGCAGCATCACTGCCAACAACGTTGTTGCGGGAAGCTCACTCCGTCTCTAGAGCCGCAGCTCCAAACTCGACCAAACCTCCCAAATTTGCATCATCTACACGCTCCAAGTCTCCCAGCTATCCCTCTGAGCCACTGCGCTCCCCAAGATGTCTTCACGACGACCGTGTCCGTGGTTCGGTGAACACGCGGGTAACCGGTGAAAACGGACGCCTGTTGACGCCGGCCTTTAGCGCAAATCACTCGGTCGGTCTCTCCTCGAGGCACACACGAGTTCTTAAGCCGCTCTGCTCAACTTATCTTAAATGCCTTAACATCCATATTCTTCATTCTCGATCTACCAACGGATCCATGCTTGCTTAAAGTCTACAACAACAAAAATCCAAAGATCCTTGCGATATTCCCCGAATTTCATTGCTGTCTGCCTGAGAGTGAACGTCGGATTGATACAACCCAATCTTATTGTTATTATAATTATGATGCTGTTTCACTCAGGACAGTCTCACTAATCAATAATGCTTTCAGGGGCCATGCTTGTATGTGCAAACCCAATTCAATCAGGTTATTTTTCAGCATTGGGATGTTTGGCCAATACCAGTTGCATTGTCTGGCCTTTCAGCCATGAGAACTAGAAGGAAACCCTTGCAGAGCAGGAGAAGAACATACAAACGTCGCACAAAGGCATCCAAGTCGGTAGTTGAACCCAGGTCCGAGTTGCCGTGAGGCACGAGTATTGCCACTTCGTTGCCACCCTGCCCCACACTTTGTCAATCATATTTGCATATATATTTATACCGCAAAGCTCTGCTAAACACCTTCCTCGGAATGCCGAATGAACCTACCTCTAGAGGTATCGCACTTCTCTGTCCCTTTGTCCACATGGTTTAAAGCCATTGGCGGCCGCTGACGGGATCGGTTCCCATGCGAAGGGCGAGCCGCTCTACTCTCCGCCCTGGCCGCTCCTCGTGTGGACGTTGTGTAGCGATGGGGCGCATGCCCACGCTGCTCCTGGATGTTTCGTTTGTCTCCTGTTGGCTTAATGGTTGTGTGAGCCGTGCCGCGCAGTGTTATTTTGCTTTCTGTGGCGATTATTTATTGCAAAGGTTTTCTCGCTGCCTCGGCATCAGCTTCGACACAGAGGCCCGCCACCCACAGCACGACCGCACAAAGGGAACCGGCATCTCCATTGCCGTAAGGTGGCCCGATTCGCTCGGCGGGACCGCAATGGCCATGTCTGCAGCGCAGAGCCGACACCTCGGACGTTCTCGGTACGAACACGGCGTTCGACGGCCGGTGATTGCGCTGGGCTCTCGAGTGTCGCGTGTCGATGGTCTCGGCCCATTCACCGCAGACAACCGAGAAGCCCTTCGCGTTGTTAAACTTTGCGTGTCTCGCAATCTCCACGCGGGGAAATACACGTTTCGGTTTGGTTATCACGGAATGAGCAATATTTATAGACCGCATAAGAGTGCCCTCGCGTTGAGCGAGGGATAATTGGTTTGACTCCAGAAGTGTTGCACCGTTCTCTTGGGTGCGCCGGAAAAGTGATTTCATCTCGTGGCATGAGACTGATGGCACTTGAAATATAGCTGAGAAGAAATATGAAACAAAACTCTGAAACATTTTTTTGTATTTCCGCTCCATGAGCAGCAGCAGCAGCACATGGTCGTGCCCACGTGGGTAGGCCTCTGTGTAGCTGTGCCAAGGCAGCAAAGTATGTAGCATCATTTGTGTTGTCCGTCTCCTTCCAAAGCACTTTGGTTGGAAATGTAGAAATGGTCGGAAGGGCCACGCACACTGCCCTCATCGCAGCCTTCAGTGGTGTGCAAGAACGCACTTTCGGTACAAACTCAACCCAAAGGTCAACCCCCATAGTTCCTTGCCCAAAGGGATGTGGGCAGCTGCCACGAGACAGTTGGTGAGGGTAAGGCCCCGTGTGAAATTGTGCCTTTTACTAAACACGTCGGTATAGGAATAGGTGCATAGGTGCAGCTGAAAACGCAAACAAGTATTGTTTTAGTTGCTCTCCTTGGCTGTGGTACCATGGGATGAAGCCGAGTTGAGCAAAATTATTTTACTTCCTAGCCATGTGACTTTTCACCGCTGTAGCACGCCCTCTACTCGCTAGGTGGTGGCCCCGTAAGTTCTCGCCCTGACCTCCCGCCGTGACCCTGGCGTCGTCACGACATCCAGTGCGCGTTGCAGGGATCCGCTCCAGTTCAATCGGTACAACACTCCTCTCCCTGTAGCTGCAAACCCAGGGTGAGAGGTGATTCAATAGCTTGTATTTACAGAAGCGGATTTCCAACTCCAGCATCGCCATGTATCGATATTCTTTTGACGCTTGCTTATTTTGGGTAGCATCTTTAAAAGTATGAAAGGTCAAATCACGGAAGTGACGAATTAGGTGTACTAAAAAAGTGCAATATGCTGACGCTGATGAAAGTAAATTAGTTGCTTTTGTGAAGGTTGCCTGTCGTGGAAGTCTCGAAGTGCACAGCGAGGATGCTGCTTAAACGCGCGCGAGCCTTGGGCTGACGGCAGGTAGACGCATTGTAAATAGTGCTTTGTTTTTAACTTCATTCATCCCACTTTTCCTGCACAGTGCTGCACATAGTTAAGTGTGTGAATTTATGTACAATATTTTGAGTTAGAATATTAAAACAATACACTACACGCTCGGGTGACACTGGTTAAATCGCCTAACACCACAATTGGAACTTTGAGTTCGAATCTCAGTCACGGGTCGTCAAAATCCACCATCCTTCAGGAGAGAAAAGATGTGTGCTACTTGGGTTGGCATTGCTCATCTTGTGGAGAGCCTCTCTGCTGCCAGGGAAAATGTGGATTTTGTTGATGCTGGCTCGTGCTCATGAATAAGAAGACCCTATGAGCATTAGAAAATAATATTTTTTTTAATCTATAAAATAGCTGTTACGTTAAATATCACAATCTTCATTTGAAGCTTTCGGTAAAGTCACGTAGATAGAAAATTAATAGATCACGACGTTTCGATCGCAACACAAGCAACCGTCGCTTGTGTTGTGATCGAAACGTCGTGATCTATTAATTAATTATCACAGGCTAAAATTCCATTGAAAAGTTGAAGATAAACGTGTTATTTTCAAATGCATTTTTTGACTAAATAAGTCGATCTAAAGGAGTCCCCTTGCATGAGTGAGCAATGTGGCCCTCCGTCATGCCCATCGGTGACTTAGCCGGAAATTCCACTTTTCATGATGGCAACAGTTTATCCATACGACGACCGCATGATTTCTATACAATGCGGAAAGATGATGTCCAGAGTCGACTAATGGGAACTGATGGTTGGATTTCGATTTAAAGCTTTCGTGACTCCAGGGATTTATATTCTTGGTGCTTTCGGTAAAGTCACATAGAAGGGAAATAATAAAAATAAAACGATACAATTCTCACGACGTTTCGATTGCAACACAAGCAATCGTCATCAGGTGTGAAAACCACAGCAATAATTATTTTTTTTAAGTGACGGTTTTTTCAAAAAAAAATTTGCTGTGGTTTTCACACCTGATGATGATTGCTTGTGTTGCAATCGAAACGTCGTGAAAATTGTATTCTTTATTATTTCCCTTCTACGTGACTTTACCGAAAGAACCAAGCACTGATGGTTGGTTCGGCAACATCCACTGCTTCAAGAGCATTTTCAGAGAACGCAGTTGACCACCGCACACACACCTAGGCTTCACGTTTGTGAGTGCTGGTGGAGTTCACGTGATTGTGGTAAATATTAATAGCGTAACAATCCCTGCCAACAGCATTTTCATCGCCAATGTGATGCACTGATGAAAGAAAACTCGTATATTTGGGGAAAACGCACCCTGGGCAGCCTTACTTCCCTCTGGTTTTCGATGGCCTCATCTCGTGTTGATTCTGTGGATCAAATTCCCCACTATGAGAGCTCTCGACAGCTCCCGTCACTTGGCAAAAACTCGTCACACTCCGATCACATGTTATGCCCCCTCTCCGATCAAATAATAAGTCCTTTTTATTTTCTTCAAATTGTGTACACCGTCACGGCCCGAGTTTATGAATCAGGTTCGATAAGCATTGTGCTCGGTGTGCTTATATTACCCTGGGCACTCGGGCACGTGAGATATTCCATTCAGATAAAATATTTCAATAAATACAATTAAAGTCGTGTACTCCGTGGGTAAGAACATAGCCCACACAGAAATACCGCAGAATGCTTCTCATCTGAAAGCCCTCCAGTGAAATAAAAATTTAAACTCATGTACACAGCGGCCTTGGATGGTTTAATTAACACATCTCGATACTTTATTGATACTCTACCATACTTATTTATAGAGGTGGTCGGGTGGCTCATGGGCCGAGGTGACCCTACCACACACAACCTGCCGATCGACTCGCTGTGACGAACCCAATTCTACTGCTGCATTGACAGAGGCAGCAGGGGCCATTTAAGAAACTTGCCCTGATGTTTGCGGCAAATCGACAACCGGTTTATTTCTATCGTTTATTCGCCATTAGGTTACCGCTAATGGACACAACTTTAGTTTAATAATCCTGATGGATACTATAGACACGGTACATCCCTGAGGTACAACGCAAATCTGCCGATGAATTAAAACTAATATCAATCAGCTGCTGCCTGTGTAATGTGTGCGATGTGTATCCCTTTAATTATATTTATATTTGACTGTAAGATCAGTTTATAAACAAGTGTTTGTATTTCATACAGGGACGCAGTAACCTTAATTGTCTAGCATTTACCGAATTGGCTTTTAATCATGTTTCAATTTATACTACGTAAATAGTAATGTAATTTGCACATTGCCGTCTGAGTGCTGTATTGTCCGTTTAAAGGTCGTGTTTGTTTTCGCAAGTAAAGGTAATTTCAGCACGTCACGTGTTCCGTTGTTTTTACTACAAGTCACGCGGTGAGCCAGACAGTGCTGCCCTTACCAGACAACCGATCCTGCCATTGTAATGTGGAAATGACAACACTGGGTGGTGACCTCCACTGGAGATGTCAATCGGCTGCCTGGGTCTCCCTGCTCGTCATTAGAGCAAGAGTTGGCACGCCTCTCCCTGGGTGGCTCTGAGCCAGTGGTGGAAATTACCCATTCCTCTAGCATCACACCATTTTAGCACTGGAAAACCTCGCACTTTCCACAAAGTGGGACCTATTTTATCTTCAATCTTGATTTGAAGCTTTCGTGACTGCAGGAATCCATACTCTTTGGTTCTTTTGTTAAAGTCACGTAGGTAGAAAAATAAAATAAAACATGTCACGACGTTTCGATCGCAACACAAGTGGTCATCCTCCAGCGGAAAAAAACATTTTATTTATATAAATCACCTCTTGTTGGAACTGCTCTCTCGCTGGTTCAGCAGTTCCACTGCTGGATTATTTTTTTTCCGCCCGAGGACGACCGCTTGTGTTGCGATCGAAACGTGATATTTTTTTATTTTATTTTTACCTACGTGACTTTACCGAAAGAACCAGAGTATTTTTTATTCCCCATGGTTTGTGGGAGCACATCTCCACTCTGTTGTATGTTCTGTCTCAGATGATGTGTGCATTAGTTATAATGCCTATGAGCAAGCCACCCTGAATCCACCTAGTCTCATCATATATCAGAAGCTAGGCTGATGATCAGAATTACACACATCAGCAACATTGCTCCCTCCGACAGAACTTGTCAGGACCCTGTTGCAAAAAAAGTTCAGACCAAATGAGGATGCTTTCCGAAGTAAACAGGCGTAATCTTAAAACATTGTACAGGAATCGAATTATGGAATATGTGCAGAGCTTTGCCGGTTAGTGTATCGTGTACATGGATTGGATGGCTTATCGCTGATGGACTTAAAACACACTCTGAAATTGTGCAGAGACAAATAGAGGTCAAGCTCCTTACCTATGCCGCTCCCAGACACCAGAGGTCGCAAACGGGTTTTGATTCCTTACCCGTACCCGGCCGCACCAGGGTCGAAAACGGGTCCCTGTACCCTACCCGATACCAGGCTACCCGTACCCGGCCGGGTATCGGGTAGGGTACGGGTACCCGATTGCGACCTCTGGGATGAAGCCATGTTGCAGACGCGGGTGGGTTGATTCTAGGAACTTGAATTGTGAGAAGAGACAAGACGTTGGGAAATGAGTGACAAACGGTGACTCACCAGTGACTCACGGCCTACCCGTACCCGGCTGCACCAGGGTCGCAAACGGGTAGCCGGGTGTCGGGTAGGGTACGGGTATTGGGTACCCGGTTGCGACCTTTGCCAGACACCGCGGGACATGAATGGGTCTTGTGTAACGTGGACAGCCGCGCCTCGGACATATCAGGAGGGGGCGCTACGGGTTCTCGGCCAACGGAGGCGAGGAGGCTTCCGGCTCGTGTCGGGCAGCCCACGTGGGCTGGCTGCCCGGTGGTGGCGAAGGGGAGCCCATCTCAGAGCAGTTGCAACCATGGGTGGAAAAAACCCGATTTTTCCAGCGGCAGGCATCGGGTTTTTTCTTTAATACAATTAAACCCGATTTCGGGGAATTAAAACATGGTTTAATGAATACGAAACTCTGATGCAAGGCTTAGGCTGCTTCCTCGTCGGTGCTGCTATCGTACTCGGTGCTGCTATCGTACACGGGGGGGCCGTCGGGCACGGGGTAGTCGTAGAATGCGGCGGGCATGTTGGTCTTGATGAACACGAGCTTCTCCTCCACAATCGTGGGCGCCAGTGAGTTCCTTGGCTTGGAATGGATGAAGCCCATCGTTGAGAAGTGCGGTTCTGCAATTAGAACCAATTAAACCAGATTTCTCCCAATCTCAGATGTTCTGGTTTAATATAAAAAGACAATTAAACCCGATTGTAAAAAACCCGACTGTGCCACCCTAGGTTGTAACATCATCATGGGACCTCCTTTGCCAGTACCAAAATATGAGAACAGGTTTTCCACCTTTTTTCTGGCAACAAAACAGGTGTTAAGATGTTGAAACACCAAACTGAAACCTTTTACAAGGAATCATGTCTGCATTAACCACAATACTTGTGGTCAGAACGCAATAAAAAACACACACTGATAATATTTGCATTGTCTTTGAAACTGATTGGTCCACACCAGAGACAACTTTCTTTGGAGCCTAGTCTCAAAAGGTGTTAGACCAGAGGACGCCAAAGGCTTTCATGATTCCTTGTTAAAAGGTTTCAGTTTGGTGTTTTAACATCTTAACACCTGTTTTGTTGCCAGAAAAAAAGGGGAAAACCTGTTCTCAGTTGTAACCTTTTTTGTGGAGCACGGAGGCCGAGGAGAATTGCGTTTGAACAGCCCTGGGCCATGAGAATATTCTACATGCCGATGGCGGGGGTGAATGTCTCAATTGGTCGATCATGGTCGACTTCCCCAGCAAGAAGACCTGGGTTCGACTCCCAACTCGGACTCCTCTCTGTATGGAGAGGCGTCCTGCTTGGGGTTTCTCCCAAGATTTTTTCTGTTGTCATCCCATAGCAAAAAAAAACTCAATGATTGAAATTGTATTCTTTGAGCCGTTCGGTAAAGCCACGTAGATAGAAAAATAATAAAACATCACGACGTTTCGATCGCAACACAAGCAATCGTCATCAGGTGAAAAAAAATGATTTAATATTTTAAAAAATATATATTTTTTACCTCATGACGATTGCTTGTGTTGCGATCGAAACGTCGTGATATATTTAAATAATTTTATATCTACGTGGCTTCACCGAAAGACCCAAAGAATATGAATTCCCGCAGTCACGAAAGCTTTAAGTCAAGATTTAAATTGTCCGAACTTCCCAATAATGAAAATAACCTGCAATGTCCTCTTGGGATTCCACACACGCCAGCAGCAACATCGCCCACTACACGCCACAGTATATGACCCCCCCTCCCCCCCGTGAACAATTGACAGCACCCTCCTAAACAGAGAGAATCGAGACCGAGTGAGGCTTGCTTGGGGTAAACACTCGTGATGACATCAATACAAACTGATGAGGAACCCACAGCACCGTCCTGCGGCAGACGGAGCCAGTGCGTGTCCCTGAACCCGAGATGCTGCTGCTGCCTGCTGCCGCAGATGACGACTCCACCATCAACAAAGGTGAGTCTCGCCAGGGGTCAACAGGCACGGCGTGTTTGCTTTGGCTACATCAGCGGGCACACGAGAGAGAGAGAGGCTGGGCCAGAGTGAAACACGAACTCGGAGGAGCACGTCGGCTCCGGCTCGCCAACTCGGTCTGGATTTGCCGGTTCGATTTCCCGGCGCGGCATGTTTCTGAAATCCGCTCCTTGACCCCTGCCGCGGCTATGGGGCCGTCCATAAATGACGTCACGCACCTAGGGGGGAGGTCAAATATTTGTGACGATGTGACAAGGGGGGATTTGAGAAATGTGACGTCACATCAAAATGCGCAACTTTAAATAAATATAGACAACACGTTCTACTTAATTAAATATACTTTTTGATAAATGTTTTCTCCTACAACATCAGAGTGCAG